AGAGTGCGAGACGAATGGGTGAAGACGCAAGGTGTGTTTTTACATTTCCTATGGAACACACTTATTAATTTATGCAAACGTAAATTCATAGTAGGTCACACTGGTCAGTGTTATTTATAAAATTCTTCATGGGAGTCGATCGATCTCCACATGCAATTTGAAGCCCTCCTTACTAGCCAACCGTGAGATTATACGGATCCATATTTACAAAAAAGATAGACAAAAAAGAGATATTATTAGGCGACGTCCTCGGGGACGAATGTGCTCTGACGATGTGGTTTGTGTTTTGCTCGTACTGATACAGTATTTTCGAGCGACGCCGGCTTATCTCGGCCCGTGGAGGCTCTCGCGTGTAAAGCCGCTACTGCGCTAGTGCCCGCAGATTGCGTCACTGTCAAACGAAAAAGTACACGCGTCATAGATCAGCAAAAATATAAAAGATTACGATGTTTTCACTACTATGATTTTACTCGCTTCAGGTGATTAATAGTAACATTTTTGTAATGTAGTTTTGAGGAAGATAGAATATAAATTATGTTTAATTTAGGAAAAAATAAAGCATATTTTCAAGGCAAACGTTTGAGTTTCATTTATAACGACAGACCTCTATACGAATGAAATAAATTCAGAAAACGGCGGCAAACGACGAGCGAGCAAATTAGGGCCGGTCCCACTACGGCGAGACGATTGCCCTCCGCGCTTAATTAAACCGCATCCTGCCCACTTGTGGACACGACCGCGTGGGCACTGCCCGATGGCTGACGCGCGCTTCGTTTGATTACATGGCTACGAATTGAACTCGATAATTACTGTGTTCGGCTTTCTTTGTTAGAGACGACGGCCTAACTTGTGGATTGTCTTAAACAACTATAGGACTTGTTGAAGCCGAATACACATAGAATATTCGATATTCTACACGACGTATCACGGACAGTATGCGACGGAATTGCAAGATTTCGTTCTGCCTTCCCCTTTCCATCATCGGTGGACTAGACGTAGGTTAGGATTCCACGAAGCGTTTCGCTTTTATATGGCGACCGGCAGACTTATTCCCTCATCGGTAACTTGGGCCTTTTCAACGCGGGAGTGAATAGGCACTTTCTATCAGATGAGATGGAGGTCAAATGCAGACTTATTTTTAATATAAAAAAAGAATCTAGCACCTTTTCGTAGATTTCAAAATATTGTCTGCAACATCGAGGAGATTATGGAGCCACATTGGGCCCTAAAATTGAGAATTATAAATGCATTTGGTAATACCTTAAACCATCGACCACGATTGCGTTTTAAAGCAGTATGCATAGCTAATCTACGGCTCGCGGTGGAGGGATCGGTGGTAAAGGTAGCGCCAATTCCATTGCGTCGGGAGCAAGGCCTACCGTCGCGACATGCCTTCTGTGGAATTTTAACAACATACACCGATGTACGGATTTCGGAAGCAACAGCGCGCCACCGTCAACATATTCAAATTTGAAAATCCGTTTTATAAAACAATAACATTGTACAAATAATTCAACCTACTGTAACAATTCATGATTTTTGAGTGCCAGGTAAAATGAGCTTTATGTATTTTGACATTAAATCTAGCTACAATATACCTGCGTATGACATTTTACATAGGTGTCTACTTGTTAGTGCAGACAATAGATTCATAACTTGCGTAACTTATTTGTATGGCCTCTTCTAGCACGAGGTTATAGCAGGAAGCTAGCTCCCTTGACGTACTCGTACGCCGGCGGCGTAACGTATAATGTGTCTCAATTCACCGTTTTGCCTCTCCCGCTTTTAATACCGATTTTGTTCGTTGTTGCCTCGTTAGGGGAGTCCCGCAATGCAATAGGGAACGACAATTTTGCCAATTCCCTTTTTTAGCAGTCGCAATTTTCTCGCAATACTTCGCGTTATTCTTCGGCGTGTCTAAACAATCGCGTTTTCTTATTAAATCCACCTAACGTCGCACTCGGCGATAAACGGCATCTGGTACCCGATATTAGTCAGCGAAAATGTTTTGGTGCCTTGCACTGGACATATCCACCGAATAAAGGCGAATTAAGCCAGCCATTACCGCAGAACTAACAATTATAACGCTCACTTGGAGGTCATGCTACGGCAGCTGTCTAAATTCATAGTATTCCATCAGTGACCACTTTTTTGACACTCGTCTCTGACAACATTTACAACGCTAGCACGCGTTTAGTGACATAGTGGGAATCGGGAAGTGCAGCAACAATCTTATTTAGAAGGTCAGCGAAGGTCTCGCAGTGTCCCTGTTGTGGTCATGTATCTAATCAATGCCAGTGTCACGGGTAGAGGCTAATGCAATCACGGGTGTGGGTGAAAAGTTGCGGTCTCCGTGCGTAGCTGCCCTACGGTTACCTGAGAAGATCGTCAAGGCTGCCGGCCATGCGGCAAGGTTACTGCCACTTGTAAGGAACCCGTTGTAGTCAGATACGAGTATTACTTATGTATATTCTTATTTGATCCTTTTTATTTTGACGTTGTGACCGTTGTCGTTCCGCATGGCCCCACAACGGGCAGGCAGCAAACATAGGCCACCCGGACTGATTATAAACCGGGCGCCGGATTCTGAACCGAAACGGTCGTATCAGACCGATGTTTTGCTTTGTGTCCGGTCGTGCGCCGTTAGGTTTTCGTGAAAAATGGAAAAAATGTCTGTATTTTGGCTTCAGTAAATAAGTAGTTCTGTATCTGTATGAAATGGATTACATAGGAGTGCCGTACCCAACATCGAAATTCATTTGATCGAATGAATTGACATTGAGCGTTTGGTAGTGCGAGAGAGAGCATCGAAATTCGAATAGTCAATTTTGAATTTGAAACGAGGAGCCAAAATATGAGCAGTCAGAAGCGGAAAAGCTTCTACTGCTAAGATTGCATATCAAAGCAAGAGTTAAGGACTATCCACACAAATCAGGGCCGTGCCCGGGGCGTGCTAGTTTGTATGAACTGCGGGCCCGTCCGGGCGCCGGCGCGGATACGGACATGTGTGAACGAGCTCATACAAAATATACGCAACGATATGTGTGGATAGACCATAATTTTTAGGATAATCTATGAGAGAATAGATAATAGATTGTAGAGTAACATATCTGTCAATCAATATCAACATATGCCAAAGCCGTTAAAAAAAATAAAATAAAAATATTAAATACGAAATAAATATGTAGGTCTACTAGTGTGAAATTGAAACGTAGTACGTAATTAGCCTTGGAAAAACGAATAGCGAAATTCGGAGATACTATCAGTACGATAGGATACGCCAAGGTCGAGAGATCAGACATGAAAAGTGAGTAAATTGTCAAAGTGCGAGAAATAGCTTACAAATAGCAAATTTAAGTAACTTGGACACTAATATTATAGTAAATATCAGTTGGAACTCTTTCAGGAATCAGGAAAAGTAAGGGCGTTTCCTAGAAAACGTATAATGAGAGAGATGAAGATGATAGGGCTACGTAGTTTCACACTACAATACCTACTGTTCTTTTGACATATCTTTAATCAATAAATGATTCATTCGTCATCATCACCAAAAGGAAGATCTGTCGTTCTTTCGACCAAACGTGCATCGACAAATATTGTTTTCGATCAGTAACACAAAAGCACAAAGTTCTTTCGATTAAATTTTATTGGGTCAGTCGTTTATTCGATCAGTAACAGAACAATCTAACATTCATTCGACCTCACGTTAATCGACCAAATGAATTTCGATCTTGGGTACAGCACTCACATAGAAGACAATGCGGCCAAGAGTTGTGCAGGCTTGTACTGTCGCTCGGCTTCACAGGCAAGGGACGATTTGAGAACATGCTAATTACGTTGGGCGCACTGTAAGTTTCCGGAATGAATAAGAAAAAAATACTATAAATGGTCAGAAATATTCTCCGTTAGCGATAATGTACTTTTTCATAAAAATGAACCAATTTTGAAAACAATTATGCCACTCCTTCGTGACAATATCTGAAACATATTTTTCATACTCTTCGACAGCCTCTTCAGGTGAAGAAAATCGTTGACCGCGTAACTGGTTCTTAATTTTTGGAAATAAATAAAAGTCACAAGGTGCCAGGTCGGGACTGTACGCGTAGATAGGATGGCTCCTAAGGTTAACGTTGTTCACCGTCAAAAATTCATTTGTCTGTCTGTCCATGTTAGAACTGGCATTATCGTGGTGCTAGATGATACGGCGTTTACGGTTATTTTTATGGAATTTGTCAATAACTTCCGGCAAACAAATGGTCGTGTACCAATCACTATTCACGGTACAACGATTCTCCTAAGCAACAGTAGACACGTGTTCAGTTTTATTAAACTGTTACTATGTCCCACACAAAATTTGACGACCTTTCGTTGAATCTGGTAAGCATGGCATTGCACCAAGTGACGCGATCCGTTTTTTGAGCCTTGATCAAATTGTGTGGGATCCACCAAGAGCACAGCTTCTTTTCACCCAAATGTTTGTATAGTATTGTTAGTATCAGTATTTGACTCATGCCTATGCCTAAAGATGCCCGAACCTCATGATATGTCACACGCCTGTCTGTTTTGATCATACGGCACACAGCATCGATGTTTTTGTTGTTCACAGCAGTGGACGGGCGACCATCACGAAATTCGTGACGAGATTCACACGACTGCGTTTGAATTCTGCAAATCAGCTGTAAATAGTCGTCTTGCATGGTGTTTCATCACCAAAAGTAGTTTGAAGCCGAGCGAAGCTCCGCTGTTAAATTACGCTTAAAGTCGTAGAAAATCATACTACGAACATTTTTACGAGTTAAATCCATGTTGATATAGACAACTTATTTCTAAAACGACGCCACGATGTAAAAGCAAGTGACAGTCAGATGAAACAAACTGTATTCTACAGCCAAAGAGTTCCATTTTCAAATGTTGTAATTACTTTTTAAATATTGTTTATCTAAGTGGCCAGTCCGGAAACTTATAGTGCGCCCTACGTAATATCAAAATGTACATTTCAGCGCGTGCGTGCATTCACAACGTCTCTTGATGAGCTCGCGTCGCGCGTCCAGACCTCCGAAGCCGCGCGCTCGTCGTGGCGCGGGCCGGGCGACGCGCGCGACGCGCGCATGCAGCTGGACGCGGTGTCGCGCGCGCGCGCACAGCTGCCGCCGCTGCGTCGCCTCGTCGACGAGCTCCACTTGCAGGCACAGAGCCTTGCGCGCGACAAGATTCAACTGCCCGATCATCTGCTCGCTAAGCTCGATGACCTCAACGCTCGGTAAGATACAATTGATACCGTATGCATTATTGCAGATAAGGGATTGCCGGACGAGCATGAGTTGCAACTTGAGTGTCAGTTGTTATTATATGAGTCTGGCAATCCCTGTTCTCCTCGAGGTACGAGTGACGGCTCAAAAGTATGGCTACTTTTTTCTTCTATATTTTTGCATGGGCCATACACTTCATTTATTTTGAAGTCATTAATCTGTTAAAAAAAGTTGCTCGTTTTTAAATATTTAACTTTTTCGACATTCATATTCGACATATTCGTGCAAAACGAAACGTAATGGAATAGAGTGTCATTAATTTTGAAAAAAGAATAAACAGCAAGTAAGTACGTCATGACATCAGTCATCAGTCAGTATGTGTTTTTAGTTGGAGATTACTTTTCAGCCGCCACTCAATAGTGCTTTTCTCTAACAATGCGAGGAAATAATAAGTGACTAAAGAATGAAGGAGAATTTAATAGAAAAAGTAAAACAAGTTTGCCATGACAAATTTTGCTTCATGTTTTGAATTACTCGGAGTACACTACAGTTCACTGCTGCATTTTCGCTCTTCTAACGAACTAATTTTCGCCAATAATATAAAAAATTTGAAAAAAAAAAATAAAGCGAACTTCAAAGTACATTTGTTTCTTTTACCACCATTTTTTTTAAGTATGTGGTGCAGGTATACTCTACTCGTGCACCATATTTAAATGCCAAAAAAATAATACCATAGGCAATATTTTTTATTTCTCGCAATTACAGACACTCATGCTGGTGAGCAGTTGACTTTATAACAGTTTTTCTCTAATCGATTTCCATAGCCCCAATGATCTTATAGACAAGTAATAATTGCATAGCCCTTTGTTAGTAGATATATTTTACTCAACATGCTCGGTAATGTTTACATTACTTTCAAAGAGCCAACACGGAATTTTGTCATCTAACTACATCACTTCTTCCCGGCCAAGGCTCCATTTCTCTAAACCTTTAAATCAATCTATTAACAATGAACTACGTAAACAGGCAAAAGAAAAACTCATACTCATGTGTGTGCGCGTTTATACAGCAACTAGCCAGTATCCGTATTTGCGAGAATTAAAAATACTTAACTGTACCGTCTACTATTTAAAATTCAGTACAGAGTACTAAAAAAACCGACCTCAAAGTACGTGGTTTAACATATAAGTACCAAGTTTTATTGAAATCGGTCACCGTAAAGTGCGTAAACCCGGATTCATCCCCTAGTTCGCCACTGTACGGGACTTCACACAGGAGATAATAGAAATCGGTTTTCACTACTCAAATTATATTGAGAGAGAAAACGCCTTAAATTGGAAAGTAGCAAAATCAACCATTAAAGTAATTGCTCTTTATAATAAAACGAGCTCTATACCGGCGCGTGGTCGCTTTCAAGTTACGGAGTGGTGCTTATGTTCTTCAGTGGCACAGTGATTAGTACTATGAGCGCATGGTGAGGAGGTTCCAGATTCGATCCCTGATTTGATCCCTTATTTGAGTCAATTTATGAAAAAAACATTTTTAAGTTAGTCCTGGTCAGGGTATTCTGGGTATTGCCCTCAAAATTATTGTTACTCTGTTGTTAATTTGGAGTGATTGTCTGGCATTTTTTCCTAAATACTTCTCTTTTTGGCATAGCTTCCAAGAAAAAATAATCTAACAGAGAGACGGTCGAGATACAACAACGCTGTAAGTTGTATAAGTAAATAAGATATTATTTCCACTTCATCGGGAAGTATGCCTTACATTTTGAACAATTGGGAAATCTTGTACCCGTAATAGAATCTCTGTATACTACTCGTACCTATGCAAGGTGGCGTGCGGACACTTCGGGCTCCGCTAGACCTCGGCCTACGGCTCGACTTTAAAAAAAATAAGAATAGCTCTTTAATGGCGGCCATATTGAAAAATGGCGAAAAATAAATTTTGATCACAAATTATTACTAAACACCCATAGACTCCCCCACATGCCGGTTTTCAATCGTATTAGAGCAAATTTTCATCTGCCGCGAAAAAATACTTCTATGGCAGCCATATTTAAAAATGGCGAAAAACCAATTTCGATCACAAGTTATCCGGCGCTTCTAGAGGCCTCCACATGCCAATTTTCGGCTGAAACAGAGCGAGTCTCTTTCGGCAGCCATTTTTAACGAAAAAACCTCTTATATGGCAGCCATATTAAAAAATGGCGAAAAACACTTTTGACCCCAAATTATGATTAAAGACTCCTAAAGACCCCTGCATGCCAATTTTCAGTCGCATCGAAGCGACTTTTTCTTCGGCCGCCATTTTGGATTCGCCTTCCAGCACCTCCTATCTGTCTCTAATAACTTCCGTGATAGAAGTCTTCTACCAGTCTTCACCCTCTTTCTAACAAAAATAGAATCATCAAAATCGGTTCACAAATACCGGAGTTATCGCGTAACATGCATACAAAAAAGAACTTACAGTCGAATTGACAACCTCCTCCTTTTTTTGAAGTCGATTAAAAAACGAAAACGTGGTAAAGTACATTAAAGCGATTTATTATTTTCTGTTTTTTCGTCTTTTTTTGTCACGAAAATTAGTTCTAATGAGAAGTGCGATAATTAAAATACAGTAATGGGAGTACCCATTACTCGGTTTTAAATTAGCAAGGCGTAATAATATTAACCACGAAAAACTGTTTGGTGGCTATGAGCAAAGTACAAAGTATGTACATGAAAACTTAGAGCATATCGGACTGGATGCGTCATTGATAGGCAGTCCCATCTGTAAAAATTTTAAAACAATTTAAAAAATCCATCGCACAATACACCACTTTCGAATCGATGTTTTTTCATTTCCCTTATCGAATTCACTGTATCAAGTGCTCCACGAAATATGTAGTCTTGCGCCATACAAACTTGCAAAAAAATCTCTGCTAAGTCTAGCCAATGATGGAACTACATTCCACTTATACGTCTATTTTTTACATTATTACTAGTTTATATTTTCGGCCTATAAAAATAAATTAATTCTCATGAAAATACTAGAGACGGAAAGTTATCGACTTGACGGTGTCGATATATATTACGTACTGGTTAATCACGTATATGAAAAATGTAACTCCACTCTTGGCTAGACTGGATGTAGAGAATTTCTTTTTGCAATGTTGTGTGTAGTGTAACAGTGGTATTGTTTTACTTATATTTGCCAGAGGAGTTTGCCCATTGACTTACCAATGAATGGATGACAATAAATACAATCCAAAATCTAATCCAAAAACCGCGAAAAAAGTCGCAGTTTTTTTTTTTTCAGTTTATTGTTTTTCGCGGTCAGTGTTGGAGCCAATGACAAGCATGGCCGGAGTTAACCTATACAAACGTAGTGACATGTATATACTCGTACATTTAATTTAATTTAAATTGTATTGTTATTGCAGTAATGTAAAGTATTGCTTAATTTTGTTTGCCATAATTTAAAGGCCCAAATTCAGCTTCTACTGGAAATAACAAAATGCAGTGATCTTTGTGAAAAAAATTTCATAAAATAGAAAATTAGCAATTAATGTAAAAAATAAGCTTACGTATGGAATGTAATTCCACCCTTGGTAGACTGGATGCGGCAGAGATTTTTTTTGCAAGTTTGTATAGCGCAAGACGACATATTTCGTGGAGCACTTGACGCGGTGAATTCGATAATGGAAATGAAAAAACATCGATTCGGAAGTAGTGTTCATTGTGCGATGGATTTTTTTTGCTTGTACCTTGACAGAGGGGCCTATCGATGACGCCTCCAGTCCTATATGCTCTATAGTTTGGAGTTATCTATTAGAAGTCTGAAAATACATTTCCCGGAAAAATGTTAGCTCGAAATTTTGTGTGTACTTTTTAGGTTATTTTTAGGAACATTACAAAACAAACCTTCGCTTACTTAATATTTTCTTTGTAATAATAAACAACCAAAAGCCCCTGGAAGCCTGACGGTTTTGTTCATCAGTTTTTGATATAATGAAAATTTGAGTTTACGTTTACCTGGAATCTAGAAGGCGAATGTGGATAATTTCAGAGCCTTTAAATTGTGTTAAAAAAATTAAGCAGTATTGCAATGACTTTACAATTTAAATTAAATGTTTTAATTTTTTTTATATTTCTATATATGACACTACGTTTGTATAGGTTGACACCGGACATGCTTGTTGTTGGTTCCAACGCTGACCGCGAAAAGCCAAAAATTGAGAAAAAAAACTCCGGATATTTTTTTATTATTGATTGTTTTCATTTTCATCCATTCATTGGTAAGTCAATGGGCAATCTCCTCTGTCAAATTCAAGTAAAACAATACCATTGCATAATAAAAATAACTTTTGAATAGATTTTTTTCCACAGCATAACGCTGTGGATTCGCGTGATGGAAATGCTTCACGAATGTTCTGTCTACGGACATGACATGAATGTGTGTTTTATCTGTGTATTTGTAAAAATAAGCTAGTGTTGTCTTTTTTTGTTTGTGTAAGATACCTCTAAAAGTGAGAGAAAGTTTTGTTCGAGAAATAACGCTAATACTCGTACATTTAATCCTCCCGTCTTGTATGCTCTAAGCATGAAAACTTATGAAATTTTCATGCAATAGAGAACCACATGAAGCACACTATCAGAAGTTCAGCAGACTACTATTAATGAGCCTGGAAAAGCAATAAATAACTTTGGATAATAATTAATATGTTTTGACTTTTTCTATTACACGTCATCCTCTCTTTAGTCTTTTATTATTGCCTCACATTGTTTGAGAAATGCATGGGGAATGGTTGACTCGTACACAAATTCTAATTGTAACTTGTAACTCATACTCGTCTATCACTCCATTACTTCCCGGCTTCTGCACTAATGTACTATAAAAGTTTAGCGCAGCGTTGTGTGTTCGTTTTTTGAATAGGCCACACAAAGTTTGTCATTAATGGATGCAAGCTCCATCCACTGGGGGTCGGCAAAATAAGTTTGCAAATCCATTACTGTCTGGTGCTCTAAACTTTTATAGTACATTATTGCAGAAGCCGGGAAGTAACGGATTGCTGGACGAGTATGAGTTACAAGTTACAATTAGGAGTTGTATTAATAAAAAAAAAAATGAATATACATATACAGTGACGAGTGATAAGATATTGGTAACGACAACATTGGTAACGTACTGTTACGTGATTTCAGCGTGGCAGCTCTATACGCGGGCGGCGAGGAACGCGCACGGCAGTTGGCAGGTGTGGCGCGCGATGGCGGCGCGGGCGCAGCGCAGGGCTTCCTCGCCGGCTCCGTTGAGCCGCCGTGGGAACGCGCCGTCACGCCGGCCAACGTGCCTTACTACATTAAGTAAGTTACAACTGGCGACCGAACCGATCTGGTGTCTGACACTCTACGGGCGAACGTACACCAGCCGAACAGACGTCGTGCTTTGTACACTAAAATATGTAATTGCTTGCAGCCACGAGCTGGAGACCACTCACTGGGACCACCCAAAGATGATCGAACTGATGACCACGTTGGCCGATCTCAATGAGGTCCGCTTCTCAGCTTACCGTACGGCGCTCAAGCTGCGCCACGTCCAGAAGGCGCTTTGCAGTTAGTATCCACTACTTAACACTAACTAATTATGCTTTCCTGGCAATGCACATTACTACTATCTCAGATGAACCTTTATTAATTACGCAAAAGTACACTACATACGTAACCCACTTTATGCGGTTTTTAGGCAATTTTGATGGAAGAATTATTTATATAACAATAATATACATGCATTATGTTGGTTATCTGCAGTGCACATGCTGCAGCTATCGGCGGCGCTGGAGGCTTTCGACGCACACGGGTTGCGCGCGCAGAATGACCGCCTCATCGACATCCCTGACATGATCACCGTACTAACCGCTCTCTACGAGGTAATGTCCGTTTAGGATGAGTTCATTGCATATCGTTTAACATAATATTCGATTGACACGCGATTTTGTCCGATTTCAGGTGATCGCGGCGGAGAACCCAAGCGTTGTGAACGTGCCTCTGTGCCTGGACCTCTCAATTAACTGGTTGCTGAACGTGTACGACAGCCAGCGCACCGGCCAGATCCGCGTGCTCAGTTTCAAGGTCGGCCTCGTGCTACTCTGCAAGGGACACCTCGAGGAGAAGTACAGGTAACTCTTCGGCGCAAGTGACAGGCAAGTCTCGACATGTCACATCCAATAGCATCACTCTGTTATTGAAGCTTCAGGAAAAGCGGGAGAAGTATCTGTGGCGTTTTCATTTAAAAAGTCCGTTGGAATACTTTAGAAGTATTACTTATTAATTTTAGTGTTATGAATAAGATACTTTTACAAGTTTGGCCTATGTAAAGACCATCCACATCGTTCAATAACTCCAAGAGAATGCCACGGAACAGTCGACACAGATGTGTATCAAGAACGTTTTAACAGTATACTTAATTCTAAAAGGTTTCTAATTTTTTGAAAAGTGAATAACTGTTTTTAGTTTACTGGGTAGAATCATCGTGTTCTCTAAGAGCCCGACTCTCGGACGCTGTACCGCGACACACAGGCTTTTCGATTGTGTCACTTACGGCAACCAAAATTGCACATGATATAAGTGAACTTCAATAAACAGAGCTAGGCTATTATAGGCTAAGTTGAATTCTGACCCATTGCGAACGTTAGGGGTGGCGGTGCGTGAGTCGGCCGCTCGCGCCCGTTTACTTCACTAACACTCATCCGCTTTGGGTCGCTGCAATGCGATTGCAACCACGTGGTTATAATGTTGCGCTGTGCCTAGAATTAAGACTTGCTGCGAATGTGTACACACCTATGTTTTTGTCCTAAACCGCTGCGACATCTTAACAGCTTTCCTCCTGTGAGTGTGAACACACACCAGGCGGTCACGGATCCACTGAAGTGCGACGCTTTAACAATTATTGAACGTCTAACTGCACCAAACATCGGCGGCTTTGTGTCAGCATGGTGTGTTGATACACGAACACCTCCTTAACACAATCCGTGATCTTTAATGCTGTGTTTGAGTGGTGGACTGAGGAAATGGAGTCCTAGCATCATGGCCATATATTATTTATGAGATCGACAATTTGCAGATATTTATTCCGCCTCATCGCCGACCCATCGTGTCGCGCCGACCAACGAAAACTCGGCCTCTTGTTGCACGATTGCATCCAGGTACGTCACTTGGTGATTACAGACTTCATGGGCACCGAAATTCATTCTGTACATTAAAATACATTTTTAAGCTAGCGAATTCATCATCTCGTGGTATAATCTCTGTTAGATTTTCCGTACCTTAAACATTCGATCTTAAAATGAAATGAATGAATGTAACGTGTTCTTATTTGTTTGAAATCTCACCTGCGAAAACAATACCTTCGAAATTTGACAATTTGAAATGTGTCTTATGACATACACGTGTCTCAGGTTCCACGTCAACTGGGCGAGGTGGCTGCTTTTGGAGGATCGAACATCGAACCGTCGGTTCGCAGCTGCTTCGAACAGGCGTCGGCCGCCGCCGCCAAGCAGGCTGCCAAGGAAGCTAAAGAAGGCACGCTTGACAGAAAGGCCGGTACGTTGTGCACACATTCCGCTATATAATGAACGCTCCAATAATAATCCGAAACATCCGCAAATCCGCAAAAAGAGACAGAGGACGCACTAACTTATGTGCAATAGTCGTTTTAGAAAAGGCACTCAAACTAGAAAAACATTCCGTGGAGTTTGAATAATTGTAAGGTTCGTATCTTGGTTTGGTACCCATCGCTACCGCTAGATGGCGTCACTCAACTTCTGAAATACGCTGTCATCGAAAGAGGCAGAAAGGTGATCGCCGTAGTTACTACCTAAGTGCTTAAGCGTAAGTTAGGTTAGGTTACTATTTTCGCATCTTAATTTTTTTTACCCAATTTTTGCAGACCTGGTATTGGGGGACGCTCTCTTTGCCTAGGTTGATCAAATTCTGACGTACTAACACTTATTTATAGCTGCCGTAGCGTGTGAGAAATACATTGATAAAATAATGTGTACACTTCCGGCCTGAAAAACCTAATTTTTATTTATTTCCACATCGCAAATCATCGTCAAAAAGAATCAAAAAGAACTTACCTTCTTTGCGGATAACACATATCTGATGCTGCTAGCAAAGTTCTACCAAGTGATCGCGTTGCTGCCGTAGTGCAGGTGACGTCCTTCTAAAGAGGCTCTCAAAACCCTAGGCGATGTTATAAGGAGATGGTTCCGATTGTATTCCCTGAGTCCGGTTTTCCTAAACTTGTGAAAGGCACCAAATATGCAGGCAATGCCCGAAATTCTCGTTTTATTCAATAGGATTATGAAGCGTGCATAATCTTTTAGTGACTTACCTCTAAAACAACGACCCCTTAAATGATCGCCCATTGGATGGAATCTTGGGAAGTGCAGTAAAATTCTCCAGTAGTCTTTTACACAACTGTATTTCGCGTGCTGTTGTCGCAGATAAAGATAAAGATAAATTTATTTCAATGCAACAGTAAAACAAATATAAATAAAGCCGTTATAGCATTAAAAAAGGTACCTAAATTATACATATAATTATATAATTATCTTAAGAAGTGCTATACATTTTAATATTAGAACCTAATGTGTAATTTCGATGCTTAAACTAAGTAAATGTGTTCCTGTATTTTAGACACTATTTTGGGCAAATTTCTTTATATTACAGCTTAAAAACAGATTTTCTATATTTAACAATAAAATAATTAGTAGTTATAAATTAATTGTTATCTATATAAAAATAATTATGGAACAACTTCCAGCAAGTTCTCTATTTCATTGTAAGTTTTAGCTCTTAAGCCAGAATATGACGGTCTTTTTACGGTCTATTTTATATTAGATGTTACCAATTTAATTCTATTATTTTTCACTGTTGTCAGTATCTTTTCATTGGCCTTTTTCTTTCTCTCTCACAAGCTCACATAAGTTACTCGGACTTTGCTCCAATTTAATCATTATATCCATATTCTCTACTTTTGAAGCCTGTTATGGATACGTCCTTGCAATATTGCCTAGTCCCTATAATAATGACTACAATAAATTTGGCTTTTAATATTCCAGAGAAAGATCACAAGGAGAAGGAGCACAAGGACAAAAAAGACAAGGACAAGAAAGATAAAGACAAAGATGACAAGGACGATAAAGATGAGGGCAAAGAGAAGACCGACATCGAACGCGAGCAGCCGCCGGCCATTCAGCTGCAGCACATCGAGGCGTTCCACTTCCTGCAGTGGCTGCAAAAGGAACCGCAGTCCATGGTGTGGCTGCCCGTGCTGCACCGCTTAGCCGCTGCCGAGAGCGCGCGCCACCAGGCCAAGTGCAACATTTGCAAAGAATACCCCATAGTTGGCTTCAGGTAACACCACAATATAATGGCGGCACTTCACAAGGCTATTGGGTGTTTGATATATTTGGAAAAATATTTGACGTACAGATAAACATGCAAACACTGACATGACCTTCTACACATGAGACCGAGAGTTAAAATCATATAACTATAATGTGGACGGTTTACTTGCGTATTTACCTATTTGCCTCCTTTGATGTGCGTCGAGAAACCGACCAGCGCGCGGTAACACGAGTTTGGTGTTTGCTTTATTTGTCGAATAGGCAAACAAGGCAAATACTTTGTCACGTGGTGATTATTTGTCAAATATATCAAATACGCAAATACAAATAGCCACGTAAAGTACCAGCAGAAGTATCTTACAAATATCTTCTGTGGTTTCGGATTTCCCCATACTGTCACATTTAAAAAGAAACCCTCTGTATACAAACATTCAATCCGATAAGTCCCCTCCGTTATCCTACTGTAAAATGCAAATGTAATGAAGAAAACTTTTTCGATCCCACTGAGTACGGTAAGTGCCAGAGAAATCTCTTTCGCTTTCGCGTAATGGAGACGCGAAACTGTGCGGTGCTAGAATATTTCATTATCCTGCGGACAAGGCTATTCCAGAGCAGTATTTTTATAGCGAGCAAGAGGATTTCTTTTTCCTTCCTTATAACGAAACACGAAAGCTTTAGAAGACGTCTTAGTAACATTTTCTATATGAAGCAGCAACGTCTGCTTAGTGACAATAACGTATACTGTCATCACTCATCCCTCTGCAACAGTGGTGCATCAATTTAATAACCAGAAGGTATGTTGCACATTTAATACGCGGTCAAAAGCGTTGCTAAAATGTGTGTAAATTACGTTTGTTTGACTACGCTCATCAGCAGGTTCAATAACACTTTCAATAATCGAAACCAGGTTTATGCCAACTTACGCTTTTATAAGTCCATATTGATGTGTGTGTGTATATATATAATATAATATTACATTTACGCCTATTAATAACATAACTAAAAAGTAAAAGTTCTTTTTTTCATAAAATTGTTTTTCAGAAACAAACCTACGATATAAATTGTGATAATAATATATAGGTATTTTTTAAACTTTTACTTTTATATTGAGACGTGTCTTCTTACGCTCGCAGTAATCATCAACTTAGTCGCGACATTCTATCCACCTCCATACCATTCTGTAATCCTTTTTACATCCTGGTGAAAATTCTTTCTCTGTTCATTGCTAACAGCTCCTAAGGTTCGAAGGGATAAAAAGAGAAATGAATGAATTTTTGACGACAGTCTACATCCCATCTTTGATGTGACACAGAGAGCCTTTCAGACAGGCCTTTTATCACAGCCTTCAGTGAGGCCTTTTACCATAACCTTCTGTGACGCCTGTAATCATTATAAGAATAATGTCATAAACAACCATATCAAAATCTCGATCTCAAACCAGAGAGTTCCCTGTAGTATGAGTACTAAAGCAAGGCATTTCACTCTGGATCACTACCTAGACCACCCAGACCATAACCAATTTGGAAAAGTGAAATTCTACCGGGAATGGAACACAAGACCTGCTCATCCAATACCCACATTGCAAGCCGTTGGGCTACCGAGGTCGTCTCGTAATCGTTGTAGTAATTACTGCATTCACGCCACAATGTCGGTTACTATGAAAGGTATTAATGTTCTATTTCTGTTCTGCAACGACAAGAGAATAAATATAGTGTGATAGTCAAAACTGTTACGATATCCGGGACTTATTTTGATACACAATACGTCTAAAATATAGAAAATTGGAATTTCGTAATTCGGATACTGACGCTGATTTAATCTATTTACAGAAAACGTGAACAATGTCCGTCCTTACAGAATCTATTTACAAGAAAAAGCTTTTGATTTTCTTTGGTATTGTAATAAAATCATTGCATTCGAGCGTCATGTCGGTTTCCGGTATAATAAAAATGAAAATAGTACTTATTCATTTTAAAAAAACCGTTTTTATTTACAATTGCAGATACCGCTGCCTGAAATGCTTCAACTTCGACATGTGCCAGCGCTGTTTCTTCAACGGGCGTAAGGCCAAGAACCACAAGCTCACACATCCCATGCAGGAGTACTGCACAGCTGTGAGTGCACCATCAACGATAGTTATCAAACACTACATTTTCGCAGGAGACGATAAAAACTATTCTAATTTTTCGCTTGAAAGGTACCACCTCCTTTCACTTTCTAAGAGTACTCTTCTCGTGCAAATTTTGTAGTGCAAGCTACTCTACAAATGGTTTCTTTAGGTGCCCTTTGGATTTCTTTAGTAATAACCAATGACCTACCAATAAATGGACGTCGGGTTCGTGCTAAAAAGTGTCCGCACCTGTAGGGCGTTAAAATCGCATACAGAGCGACAATCGCGCAATAGTCTTCGTTTGTTCGAGTGACACCGCGGTTGTTAATGATGCAGTACCAATATAAACAGTACAAATAATAACTTGTAAATATTACTGCAGTAAAGTGTGAAAACAGGAGTTTGTATCATATTTTCACTAAACAAATATATTGTGTTATCATAGTTGTCATTTAAAAGTGTTATTTTGTACAGTTTTATAGTATTTGATTTGTATATAACTGAATTGTAAATGTAAATTACGAAAGCACACGAAAGAATGAAATAGCTAACTGTCCTTTTTCTACTCATTGCATGCGCAAAAGATGGAAAGAGACCCGTTACGTCAGTCTCAAGAAGCTTATATAAACTTCTTGATCATTTTCAATTGTTCGAACCACCACAAGCGATTGAAATATTTAGAACAAAGAAACTGTAGAGTTGCTTTGATTTTAATCCTATTTTTAAAATGATTTTTTTATTAAACGTTAGCAATAACTAACAAAATATTGTCGTACTCGTTTTACGGCATGGGATTACCTATCAGAAGTCAGAAAATACATTTGCCCGAAATAACATTAGCTCGAATTTTCATAATGTGTTTTTACGAAGATTACAAAACAAAAGCTAATTATGTCTATGTAAATAGCATCAAAATAACTCGAAAGCGTAACGGTTTTGTTATAAATCGGAATTACGAATATTTGAGTTTACGTTTAGTTAGAATATCGGTACATTTCTTATAGAACACGCTTATTTTCACATTTGTAGTAATAATTGTATTTATGTATCTGCCCAACTCTTTATTATACCTTTAAGTGAATTTGTACAAAATTCGACGTAATAATATATATAAAAAAATTAATTGATATTTACGAGAAAGGCCATTTCATTACTCTTGTGTTCAAGAAATTTTCAGTCGAAGCTAAATATGGTGCATGTTGTTAAGTTTCCAGTAGAAGCTGAATGTGGTGTTTTGGGCCCTTAAATAAGCAAATTTAGGCAGTACTGCAATGACGTTACAATTTAAATTAAATATTTTAGTTTTTTATATTTCGTTACATCTCGCTACATTTTTGTATAGGTTAACCTCGGACATTTTTTTCTTTTTGTATTAGACCCGATGTCCATTTGTTGGTAGGTCAATGGTAATAACTAAATACTTTTTTAGATTATCTTCACTTACTTTAAAGACGAAGTATCATTTGTTATGTTTGCACGTATAGAAGATCTTCAATATCGTCAATGGTATGGCATACAAGAAATTAATTAAATCGAGTTGTAATAGCAATTCGCGATCACTTTTTTTTAATAAGACAGCAAAACATTTTCGGAAAAAAGAGGCGCGTTCTTCTTGTTTTTCCAATGCAAAAACTCTTCCTGATGTATTTATTTCTGTATTTCTCAGGAATATGTTCTCAATAACTGTTTGGGCAGTTTCTTTTAATTCCTGCAGCGTCACAAAATCTTTATATCACTCGACTAAATTTTTAGTAAAATTAATAAAGTAAGACACAAATTAACTTTTCACTTGACTCCTTTTTTAATTATATTGATCAGAAAAGGCAAGAGGCCAATATCATTGGCGAACTTGGAGTAAAAACTTTTTGTCGTTTGACATACAAATAACATGGATACAGACTAACTAAATAAAAAAAACGCAAGTTAGAACTGTAATTCCGTTCGATCGCACATCTTATTAAGAGTGCACGTGTTTAACGGAATTCCGATCGCTGGCTATTCACGTGAACTGTGCATTTATTTGCATTCGAACTAATCCAAGATCGCCTGGAGTATTCACCTGCGATAAGCGATTATGAGTTTTAGTAGTGATGGCGGATAGTTTAATTTTGGATAGCAATGACGTGATGGAAGCATATGAAGAAATTACAGAGTCCGGAGAAAATAACAATAGCCCTATAGAAATACAACACTTTTTGAATTCGGACATTGATAGCTCTAAAACCGTAGACGCCAATCGTAATAAGAGAGGACGAGACGAAGATCTAAATGATGAGGAAGAGTGGCAAGTAGTGACGGGGAAGAAGACGAAGAAGAAATCTTTGGAAGATATACAATTAAGTGTTACGAGTAAAGAAAAATTCCCGAAACAGTTTGCTTTGGCCAAATTAATGAAAGCAAATAATATTAGTGGAATTATGAGAATTAAATTTATCAACCCTTATAAGCTTTTTATCAACTTTCGTTCGGAGGAATGTGCACAAACGTTCGCAGAATGTGAAGAATTTAAGAGATTAGGATGGAGGGCACAAAAGACATGGGAAGTGGGAATTTCCTACGGGTTACTGAGGGACATCGATGTAGATTTGAAAGAAGAAGAACTTATGAATATAATCAAAAGCACCTCCGAAGTGGTGTCGATTAAACGCCTTAACAGACGAAGTGAGAACGGATGGCTACCATGTGAGTCTGTACGTATTGGTTTCCTTGGCTCTAACCTACCGTCATATATTTACCTATACGATCTCAGAGTAAAAGTCGATAAATATGTATTTCCTGTCACTCAATGTACCCATTGCTGGAGATTCGGTCACGTTAAGAACTTGTGTCCCTCGACAAAACCGATATGCCCGAAATGTTCGGAACGTCATGAAAATTGTGATACTATGTCATTTAAATGCGCTAACTGCGGAGGTAAACACATGGCCATAGCGAAAATATGTCACACCTATATCAAAGAAAAGAAAATACGTCAGTTAATGTCAGAGTTCAATGTGACGTACCGAAAAGCCGTAACTATGTATGTCCCTCCTCGCTCACCTTCTCCTACACGGAGCGATAAACCGGAGCAAATTCCAACGAAAAACTTGTTTTATGGCCTATCTATTCATCAAGCAAAACAAGATACGAACGCGTCATTGTTTCCTACACCCACACAGGCACGTACCTATGCCGATGCAGCTGCATTGTCTACGTCCGCACACAACAAGTCGCCAATACTTTGTTTACGTAATAAAAAGAAAAACAAGGTGCTTAACTCCCCTCAACGTAAAAACAATGCACGGAAGGTTCAAAATACTTCGGGCGAAAATATGGTGATTGCAGACTCATCGGAACCGAATTCCGAGTCGGATGAGAATTATTCAACAAATAGTGAAAATAAGCACCAGAGGTTAATGACATTTAAAGAGTTATTCAACGGCTGAAAGAAGTAATCCTAAACCAAAACTGTGATTTGATGAATAAGTGGAAGACAGGGTTCTCTATTATTAAAGACTGGGTTCTAGCATATATTCGCAAGTATATTTCTGATTTTACAATAGTTAAAATGTTTTCATCATTGTTTAATGGATAAATCTTTTACAAAATTATTTAATATTAATATATGTCAATGGAATGCACGTAGTTTGCGGAATAAATTAACTTTGTTTGAGCAATTTTTGATCCAAGATAAAATACATATAGCGGCTATAAATGAAACGTGGCTTGACCCAGAGTATACATTAAATCTAAATAATTATATTATTTACAGACAGGACAGAGAAATAAGTTATCGTTCGGGTGGTGGGGGTGTGGCACTTTTAATTCATCGTTCTATCAAATCAGAACAAATGCAAATTGTTCATCATAATTCGGGGATAGAAATTATCTCTGCCAGGCTTTTTAACTGTGGTCAGATAGAAAATATTATCTGTGTATATTGTTCAAGCGAAGTGCGCACTAATCAGAGTGACTGGGAGAAAATATTTTCAGTGGCTAAAGAAAAAACAATCATCCTGGGGGATTTTAATGGGTTACACGTTAGTTGGTCACACAAAAACAATTACAGGGGTAAACAAATTTTTGACTGCCTTTTAGAAAGCAATTACATGATATTGAATGATGGTTCAACAACTAGATTCCAACTAGTAGAAGGGGTTCTTAGAGAATCCTCTCCTGATTTATCCATGGTATCAAGTGACCTACTACCCCTTGTGAACTGGATTGTAACCAAAGAATCGCTGGAAAGTGATCATTTAATCTTGAAGATGTCTGTCCTAGTGAAGCTAAACGTTATTATTCAAAAGAAAAGAAATTTCAAAAATGCAGACTGGCTAAAATATTCTGAATATTTAAAAAAAGCTTTTACCAACATTACTCAAATAGAAGATAATCAGTCTGCTTATGATGTATTCATTAAAACGCTTAATGAGGCGGCCGATTTGTACATTCCTTTAATTAAATATTGTCAATTTCCTGAAAATAATTTTAAACGTAAACCTTTTTGGAACCCAGAACTCTCAAAATCAGTAGCTTTACGCAGGTTAGCTTTAGCAAATTTTAGAGGCAACCCTACACCTGGTAATCATGATTTTCTGCTTGACAAGATAAGAGAATCCCAACGACTCGTGCGCATTGCAAAAAGGCAAGGTTGGCAGAGCTTTTGCGATTCTATTGATATCAAAACATCATCTGGGCAGATGTGGGATAAAATGCGTTGGTTCAAGGGTCGATATATCCCTAAGACTCAAATTGACGAAAATACAGCAACTAGTTTACTGCGTAACATCTGCCCTGATTACGTCAGCTCACCATACCCTCATTTTAGACCTACAGAGTCTTGTATTGAAATTCCTATTACCTTACAGGAACTAACGAATAGTATTAAATCTAAGGATACGGCCCCGGGCCATGATGACATTTCATATTCTATGATCAGGAACTTACCCGATATTGGTAAATTATACTTATTGAAACTATATAATCGTTTTCTGGAATCAGGGTTTGTTCCATCACAATGGAGGGATATTAGGGTTATACCAATACCGAAGCCTGGTCGTATTTCTCAAGATGCTTCGTCCCTACGGCCAATTTCGCTAATTTCCTGTATATGCAAAATCTTTCATGGGATCATAGGCAAAAGATTGGAGTGGCTATTAGAAAAGAGGAATGTTTTTTCGGAACTGACTTTTGGCTTCAGGAAATCCAAATCCTGCTTAGATAATCTTAGTCTACTCGTTTCTGATATTCAAATCGGATTTGCTAATAATCGTCCTACACTTGGCTGCTTTGTAGACATAGACAATGCATACAATAATGTTGATCTTGGGCCACTTCTAACCATATTAGATAGACTTGATGTTGGGGCTAAAACATGCCGCTATCTTTGGAACTTTTTAAAAGAAAGGAAAATTCATATTAAGTTTGATAATGGCGTTGTAACTAGGTACTGTAGTAGAGGACTAGCACAGGGTGATCCGATATCCCCTCTGTTGTTTAATATAGTCTCAGTTGATATCTGCAGGCAAATTAAAAACAAGGTACAAATTATGCAATACGCCGACGACTTTGCGTTATATACCTCAAATGGAGACATTTCTCATGGTCTATTTGAATTGCAGGATGCTATTAATTTGCTATCACAACTCTTAGGTAATTTAGGTCTAAGCCTGTCCCCTGCGAAAAGTAAATTATGTGTTTTCAAGAAGAGTCCCTTTAGGGGATATTTAGAGCTAAAAATTAATGGGACAATAATAGAAGTAGTGGAAAATGTTAAATATCTGGGGTTATGGCTTGACCGCGGGCTTCGCTGGGGCAAACACATTAATGAAATCTATTCAAAATGCTCCAAATTTTTGAATATTTTAAAAGTTTTAGCTGGTTCGGGTTGGGGAGTCCACCCTATACATTTAAGAAGGATTTATATTGCTAGCTTGCGAAGTCGAGTGGATTATGCTAGTTTTCTTTATGATGTGTCGTGTAACTCTCACCTTAAAAAAATTAATTTTATACAAAATACAAGTATGCGAATTATAGGAGGATTCATTAGAAGCACTCCTATTCACGTTATGGAAAGTGAGCTATCACTACCACCTCTTCACGTACGTAGACATTTTTTGGCGAGTAAATTTTCTTTTAAAAGCAATTCTTTAAATTCAAACCCAGTAGTATCCTCAATTAATAAATTAACTTTATTATGCACGAAGAAATTATGGAATAGAAAAAAGACACCCTTATTGGTAGAAGTAAGTAAGTCGTTCCAGAACGTGCCTTCGTTTACTAGCAGTCTCCTAGAAATGTTCTCTCTTAACATATGGGTTAGTTATATTAATGTACCACTAGTTGTCAAACCTAACATTCCAATTTTAGATAAACCTAAACGTTTTTACAATGCAGATAATATAGCAAGTTCGTTTATTCATCTGTGTTCTGTTGAATATGATGGATTTTATAGGTTGTTTACCGATGGATCGAAAGATCAGAATTGTGCGGGAGCGGCGTTCTATGATCCTCAGTTACAAATTCATGCTAAATTTAAAATTTCCTCGGCACTGTCCATTATGCACATTGAGCTATTAGCTATTGCGGAAGCGTTATCTTACGTTAAATCTTTATCTATTGATAAGTGTGTTTTGTTTACAGATTCCAAGAGCGCTTTATTTCATTTGGCTCGATGTACCTCGAATTTTCGAGGATTCCCGGTAGCCTATACTATACTTAATATAATATTTGAATTGCACGCCCATTCAAAAATTATAGCCTTGCAATGGATTCCATCTCATTGTGGCATAGTGGATAATGAAAAGGTAGATTGTCTGGCGAAGGTGGCTTGTACTGATGGTGATACCCTCCCGTGTCTCCCGTTTTATAGTGAATGTTTGGGTGTTGTAAAAAAGAATTCTTACAATATGTGGAAGGAGTTTTTTGATGAAAGGTCGAAAACAGCAGGCATTTGGTATAAGACCATCCAACCCGAACCGTTGAATTCTCCTTGGATCAATAATTGCTTAAATAGAAATGATTTAGTATTAGCATTACGCCTTCGGTCCGGACACATTCCATTAAATAAGTTTGCGTATATGATGAAGAAAACAGAATCACCAAACTGTGCTGTATGTGACTTAAAAGAGGACGTATATCATATACTGATGGAGTGTGGACGAAACGATTCTTTTAGATTTGATGTAGCTGCTATGTGTGACCAGTTTAGACAAGTTGGCGGATGCAACAGCGTCTTGGCCTTTCCCCTATCAAGGGAAGCCAAGATGCTATATAGATTGGTGGAGAGAGGCTTGAAGTTAAGGCAATTATAAGCTGCTTCAATTCTCTCTTTACTTTATAATATAAATATATGTATAGAGCGGCGTAGTCGCTTATTGTGACAAAGCTCTTTAAATAAAGAAAAAAAAAAAAAAAAAAAAAACTAATTCGTCGCCCGCATTTTAGTACGACAGAAATGGCGTGCTCTATGAGTCATGTTTAGAAGAGCCGCTTTCCGAGTAGGTGTAGACAGTATAAAGAATAAATCCAGTGTAATTACAAAGTATATTATGCAAAATACGAATGAAACCCTGTAGCTGCGATTGAGGGTAGTCAACTTTCGTTCGGCTGGTCTGCAAGGCCAGGTCTGTATGGAACTTTGGCATTCAGTCCTTTTAATAATTTTACAAACTTCAAATTTGAATTCAATAGTTTTGTTGTAATTCATTGTTTTCGTGTCCGGGAGTCTGTTCTTTCTTTGATGGCAAGAAATCCAACTTTATCGTATCGTAATTCGCATGATGTGAATCGTGTGGTGATGCGATCTCACTCTAACCAATAGTTCGGTCTATCAGCACGACCGGCCGACCGAGCGTGCTCCGAATGTCGCCGAACCGACCGAGCGAGAACGAGTAGCGCTGCATGAATGAAGTATTCGGCACGCCGGGTTTTGTCTGTTTTTTTACATTTACATTTTATTGAAATTAAAGATGTTTTGCACTATATTAGGGTGCATATTATACCTTGCTCGAATAGGCTCCACGGTTCAATACGTCGTTGACACTCGTTCTACATCAATGCGTATTTATTATTTTAGCTTTAGACACTTAAAATAAAGAATTTGATTAGTCAGCAACCACGAGAGTATTTATACTAATAGTGGCGACTGTACATAGAGCCTCTTGGCAGGTAATCCATGTATTATAATATACATATGCAAACTGATATATGATTACAATGTATGTTATTCATCTGATGAAACCTTCCTGATTTGCGCAAGTCACGATTGACGCCCGCAAATATTTCTGAACTATATGACGACACTGTTGGGCATTATGTTATTTTTCAGTGGCATTAACTAGAGTAGTAATATAATCTATTTCAGTAGGGTTTATTCTCAAGACCGCTAAATTAGCGATGGGTTATGTTGAATTGTGTAGCTTATTCACGAACCAAAGTCCAATGACTTTGTTAACACTATAAGCGTTCTTGATCTGAGTCTTTGTACTGACACTGCACGCACTGTAGACTTTCTCCGTAATTACGTGCAGCAGCATTATCTAACTACTACGATTTGAAAAACGGTAGGAAATTTGCGTATATTTACATTTTTTTTGGTGCCACAATGTTGCTTTTACCAAAATGACCCCGAGCACAAAAAGTTCCAAAAATGTCTTACAAAACGTCCATAAACCTATTCCGAGAATAAGACATAATACCTGTGTATTCTGAAATATGTATAAATTACAATCAGCGGTTATAAATATATCACGTTGTAAAGTGCACTCTTGTCTTTTCCCCCAAGATTGTATATGGCTTCGCGCAGACGAAAAATCAAATTATTAGTTTTTTTTATTTTTATTCAAGGGAAGAAACGCAGTCTCAATTGCAGGCAATATAAAATATTGATGATAAATAATAAACAGGACGTAATACTAAAATTGTTGTTGTGGTTACGACAGACGACATCCGGGGAAGACGTCCGTGACTTCACGCGCGCGCTGCGCAACAAATTCAAGTCTGCACGCTACTTTAAGAAGCACCCCCGAGTCGGATATCTGCCTGTGCAGACTGTGCTTGAAGGTAAGTACACCAGCTTATGGGCTTGGTGATACGTTACAGGGGTCTTACGATCACCATTTTTGGCGAGTGGACGCCACATTGCAGTGACGCAGGAACTTTATATAGGGCGAGGTTGTTGTATGACCCTCTTCACATGAAGCCAAGTGTGAAGTTAAAATAATGAATATGACCGTAGTGTGGACGGTTTACTTGCGTATTTGCCTATTTGGCTCCTTTGATATGCGTCAAGAAAACGACCATCGCGCGGTAACGCGAGTTTGGTGTTTGTTGTATTTGTCGAATAGGCAAACACTTAATCACATTTATGCTATCTACACCATGGTGATTGTTTGTTAAATATATCAAATACGCGAACACAAATAACCATGTGAAGTGTCATCATAAAATGAAGATGTTGCATGTATTGTACCAGGCGACGCCTTGGAGTCTCCAGCACCGTCACCGCAACACGGCGCCGGAGGGGGCGCGGGGGTGGCGGGGGGTGCGGGCGCCGCGGCTCTGGGCGGCCCCGACGACATGCACTCGCGCCTTGAGCTCTACGCTTCGCGACTCGCGCAGGTTGAACTGGGCGCCAAGTCCGGAGACACTCCTGACAGGTAACAGTCTAAAAATCTACATAGTCTAAAAGAACAACACATTTTCGAGATTGTGGTACAGCTTGAGTCGCTTCCGGAACGCTGAACGTCAGTTTGATGTAAAACGTTACAGTACATGCAAAGTTAGCACCAAGCTACGCCGTTTAAAGTAAATACATTGGTGTTTGTCTGGCATATTCGTTTATTCTATAGCATCTATAACAAACTTTTAACAAACGCGTCTCGAACACCAGTCCAGTTAATAAATAGTGTCCACTAGGCTGTAATAACATTGCATTATTGTGTATTTGAAACATAATGTTAATTAATATGTGTCATCATTATATCAGTCGGAAGACGTCCACGGCTGAACATAGGTCTCCCCCAAAGATTTCCAGACTAGCCGGTTAGACGTGATCTGCAACCATCGGTTACCAGCCGCATTTACCAGCTCACCCGTCCATCTAGTAGGGGACCGTCCCACTGAACGTCTTCCGATTCGTTGTCTCCGTTCGAGAACCTTTCTGCTCCAACGGCAGTCAGGTTGTCTACTAGCTATGTGCCTTGCCCACTGCCACTTCAATTTGCTAATCCTTTGAGCCGTGTTGGTGACTTTCGTTCTTCTACGGATTTCGCCATTTGTTATTCGATCTCGTAGAAAAATGCGGAGCATTGCTCGCCATAGACACGACTTCCAAAACTATTTACTTTAATTAGTTATATGTGTAGTTATGCGTTTCTTTTGTCATAAAAATATGTTATTTTAAATGGTATAATAATTATGGTGTTAGTTTTAGTAGATCTTGTGTAAATAAGTTGTCACGGAAGTGAATAAACTTGTTAACTATAATAGTTCGTTGAGTAACTTTGAGCTTTTTTATGAGGCCCATAGTAAGCGACCACGTCTCAGAGCCGTAGGTCATCGCTGGCAACACGCATTGCTCGAAGACTTTTGTAAAAAATAAGTATACAATATTTTATTTTGTTACACTTGCTTGCAGCGACGAAGAACACCAGCTGATTGCGCAATACTGCGCGTCGCTGAACGGCGCCGGTGGCGACGGAGACGAGGCGCCGCGCTCACCTGTGCAGGTGGTTTCTATCATCCATCGTGAGCAGCGCCATGAGCTCGAGGCCATGATCAGGTACTACTCGCATTTTTTTATGATTCTAAGTGTCGGACAGCACGGTGAGCGACACGCCTATCCACAAATCCATTGCAGCTGTAATGTCACTCAAAGCTTTATAACAAAAAAAATAGAGGGTTGTCATCTTCTTAAGACATAAAGTTTACCTTTAAAAGACAGCCTGCTACTTACTACTCGATAGCAGGCACAGGTACGGTAGCTGGGCCCTAACTTACCTGGGCCCTGAAGATAATAAGTACTCCGAATATTATGGGTAGTAGCTTTTATAATTATTTTCGAAGCAGACAAATGAGACGTCATCCAGGTACGAATCTAACTAGACAACTAGACAGGCATTCGCAGTAGAGTTAGGAATTTAAGATAATCATGACTATAGACGAATATTATCTAATTAACGCGTCTCGCGGTTGCAGGGAGCTAGAGGAAGAGAATGCCAGCCTGCAGGCCGAATACGAGCGGCTGAAGGCGCGCCAAACGCCCGGCTCAACTCCAGATGAACAGCACGCCGTTGCCGAGGCGCGTGCGCTGCCGCTCGACCAGGTACAACCACTTGCAGCTCTCCGGTGCTTTATTGACTCTAATTGTATCGTAGCAAGTTGACAGCGCATCACAGAACGCGGGGTGAAAACTCGTATAACTTACTTCAACATCGAACAACACAAAGTTTTGGTGCGGTACAACAGATATTTAGCTTAGCGAATGTTTATGTAAGCAGGCAAGGCGAAGGATGGTATTTTGTAGCTTATTACAAATAATACAAGAGCATTTGACACTAATAAGTGGCCGCGCGTCCGATTGTGTTTAAAACAAATGTCTCTTTTGAGATTACAAATCAAATAGTGAAATTCGTTGCCTCTGCGTTCAGGGAACTACATAGGGAATTATTCCATCGGCAAATTTACTCGCCACCTGTACCATACAGTACTTCGTACATATTGCGTTCTCCCCCAATTGCCCGTACCTTTATTCTAGGTTAAGGTCCATGATAATGTGTAATGTTCTAACAATGTGTTGATGAATCTTGTATTAATTAATAAAGGTGAGATGCATTGCACTTGCAGGACATGATGGCCGAAGCACGGCTGCTGCGTCAGCACAAGGGGCGTCTGGAGGCGCGCATGCAGATTCTCGAGGAGCACAACCGCCAACTGGAAGCGCAACTGCAGCGCTTACGCAAGTTGCTCGAGGAGGTCACTATGATTTTATTTCTCTTATTTTCTTTTACTATTAATTGCGGAAAGATCGAAACAATGGTTTCATTTGACAGACCGACATTAATAGCGCTGCATTTTGCATGGGTCTCGAAATATGACCTTCGTAGAAAGTGGTACTAATGTTTTTATAACCATCCCTTTTATACCAACTTCTTTTTAAGTATCGAAGTTCCACAAAAAATCAATTTGATTTCTTGTATCTATTTCCATCTGTGCACAACTGATCTTTGTACATCTGGCGCTGTGTATGAATGTACTAAGTTTAGTACCAAACGATGCTGTGATGAAGCATATGTTGAGAAAGTTGTTGTCACCCAAAGGGTCCTACTGTATGTTCTTTGCTCATAGGAAGCGTATCATTTCACTCACACTTAGAAACTCATTCGAAATAATTCTTACTGCCTCGATGGAACGTGTTTTGAGGTAAATTATAAACTGGAGACATATGAAATTCAGAAAATTAAAAATGAATGAAAAAAATTTAAAAAATAATTTGTTCGATATTTCACAGGCTCCTGTGAGCCTTTTGTTGGCCAGTTTGTTGGGTCAGAGCCGTTTCTAACCCAACTTACTGGGTATTGGTTGTTACTATTGTTAGTAAATAAAAGCACGTGTTCGTGCATGCGTACGTGCGTGTTTCTATCATCATGTAGAATGTATCATCAATAGAATGTATATACATATAATGTAGTTAAGACACTAATGGTCGTATTCTAGAACTCTATCTAATGCTCAAGTCAGGATTTCTGGCAACACAAGCACTAGAAATACGACCCTAATGGCAGGGTCTGGAGTATGATTTCGAGTGCTTTAAACCATACTCAAATCCTGACTTGAGCATTGAGTAGAGTTCTAGAATACGACCCTAAATGAACCGCTTCGACTTGCAAATTGTTACTTGTGTTGTAGCCCAATCAATAACGTCTTGTTTCCTTTTTGTGGTTGCAGCCAGCGCAGGCGTCGCCACCTGCGGGACGCACAGGCACGCTGCAAACACGCTCGGTGACCGCCTCACAGCTCGCCACCGACTCGCCCGCCAAGCTGCTCAACGGCGCCTACCACGACCCGCAAACCAGTCAGTATCGAAACGTTTACGCCTCCCCTTATCTTTCACTTTTTATACGTTATTTCAATACAGGGTGTAACTAAAAGGTAACCTAACCGCATTTCAGTTGATCGACCTAATAAGATAAGAAACAATTTTAGTGGATAAAAATAAAAAGTTGATTCCCTGTACAACCTGGTGAAATTGCACTGATGATTCAAAAAAAGATTATAGGAAAAGGCAAAGCTATGTAATAATTGACAGAAATAAAAGTAATCTCATAGAAAAACATAAGCGATTATAAATTTTGAAAAATGTTCATTTCAATATTGTTCAAATTATCGTGACGCGTCAAGTAAAAAATTGTATGAATTAAAAGCCATTGGTTGCTAGTGCAAATATTTGACACGATTAGAATTCCGTTTTCAATATACTGAATGGCTCTTGCGCCTTGTGACTTCCTGAATAATGTTATTTGGTGTCTATTACATTGTTACCCCGAGCTATTTTCCTGATATATTGCATACCTGAACGTAGAGCAGCATGTTGGTTAGGGAAAGAACGTAACTTCCGTCTCTGTATTGTTGTACTTATAATCTCCCGAGGCCCGCGTACTATTTTTAGAAGAAAGTCATGAATTTGGACCCGAATGGAAACCAAAATTGCACCAATGACCGAATCAACTGAGTGTAATGGAAACTAAAAAATCATGGGTGGCTTTACGTACACCACGAAATGATTTTGTTCTGATATTAGTACAACGATCTAGCTTTTCTTCTTAAGGGTCTCGGGAGGATGTTGATTCAATCTCCCTAAAGGCTGATGTTTTGGTGTCTGTTATATCCTCAAGCTACTTAGAATATTCTGTAAATGACATAAATAAACTTGGGGCCGCATGTTAGCTAGGTTTGTGTTAATTGTAAAAACGGTCCGCCATTTTGACGTTAGCGTGTGCACAAGATGGCGGACGCAACTGGGAGGAGCGCGGGCTGTTGGAGCGACCGCCGCCGCCGCCGCACGCCGTGCATTCGCTCATGCACTGCGCAGGTTAGACGCCGGTTCCGCACTTCGTTTGCAGCCTAGGGACTAATCTAGCGAAACCATTTCAGGATAATCTTCTTCCGTGTTTAGTTGTTCGACAGTTGCTCACCAATCGCGATTTGAATTCAAATCCCGAAATAATTATTGATTGGTGCTACGAAATAGTGTCAGTCGAGTTAAAGGCGATATCAAGGATCATTTTTGTACGCCGCCTTATTTCAGCTAGATTCGTCCCTAAGATTAAGCCGCTTTGTTTGCAGCCGTTTTTTGTTCCCACTCATCGCACACACGACGTCTGGAACAGCGCGGTCGCTAATCGTTCTGATAGGTCAATTAGTCAACTTTACTGCGTATGAGTGCAATTTCTTATATTATGTTGTTGTGAAAATAAGTGCTAAGTATGTTTCGGGCTCATTTTATAGTTTTATGGCGTAATAAAACTCAAATATGCAAAGAACAAGTAGCGACTGCAGCGTCCGCACGTCGTGCGAACGCACCTCTCCTCGCTCGCTGATCGCGTTGGTTTTAAGTTAGTGAGGCTGTTAGTCGTAGCAACGAATAGATGTGTATATTGTGTACCAGATGCTGATGAGAAACGGGGAGATACTTGGCATATTTTAAAAAATCGTTTCCAAAAATATTAGAATATTGTGACTTTTTTATATGGTACACGTGCTAAATGTCATATTTACTTGCAAGTTAAAGGTACGTTTATTGTATGGCGTTTTGCGAGTTTACAATTTATAACATTATGTTATGCACATTGCAATTATAGTGCATAAAGATTGTTAATACAGGGTGTGAAAAGTGCTAGTTTTATTATAATGACCGGTCAAACATTTTTCCTTTTTTTGATGTTGTGTCCTGAGTTTCTGGTAGTCCTATACCATTGCAACGCTCATAAGAGGGCTCTGTTAAAGTGTTAAACAGTATCACCTCATTCACTCTCGTGTGATATTACGATGGTAACTGATAACGCAGTGGACATGATGGTCTTGTTGGTTTCTCTCATCTCATTAAGTCGGAATGTCTGTTTGTATTGTTTCTTAGTTTTTAACGTTTGGTTGTCTGTCGTTAGTTTATTTTTGGCTTGTTTATGGTTGTTTGTGCATGGTATTTCTGCATGGCGTTGTTGTTGTGTTGCGTTTGAAAGCGAACGAAAAACTCATTGATTGATTGTTTTCTGTTTAACGCAACCACAGCCGGACGAATTTCTTAAGGTAACGTAACGTAAGTAATTAAAGGTACGCGTGTAAAACTCTGAAATATCGTGCTGCTTCATATAACGTAATGATTACTTGTTGCCAAAAAATCTTGTTTCTTTAGTGTTACCTGTTACTTACGAAACAAAATAAAAAAATACATTAATAGTTAATTTATTATTCAATTCCGTTAATAATCCATTTCTTGACTTATTTATAATCTCAATTGTGTTGTGACGCATCGTTTCCAGCACACCTGCAACCGTACTAACTTCAACGCTTTAATTTCCAGATGACCTAGGTCGCGCAGTCGAAGAGCTAGTGACGGTGATGACAGAAGAGCAGCAGCAGCCTTCGCACGCGCCTCCACAATATACGAACGGCAAATCTGGCAAAGACGAAAAGTAGCGTCGGCGATATTCAGCGAGCTTGGTGCTGCGGTTTATTCCCGTAGAGTCGAGTCCCGCTGCGTCGACTCGTGAGGGTGGTTTAATTTTTACTTCGAGTCTACAATTTTTTCTCAAGTACTCCTACTCTATATAACGACCCTTTGAACTAGACATGATTTGGTGCAGCGGGACGCGGCATTACGGGAATAAATCGGTGCTGCGCGGATGCGGCCTCGGTTAATAGTGATCGGCGGCCGCGTCTAGCGCCCTTTTATAACCTTTTTACTCCCGCTCTGGAAACAGTGTCGTCCTTTCAGACCAGTATCTTTACACGGGCGTTTGTGTCGCGGATAGCATCAGTCGCGGCAGTTATAAGTGTTGCCGTGTTAATGTTTTTGAGTATTTCAACGAGGCATTAACCGCTCGCGTGAAGAGCCCTTCGCCCCTGCTACAATGGGACCGCGCTCACTAGCACGGATCGACTCGGTTCACCAAGTTGCCTACAGCCAATCGCAGCAGCGTAGTTACGCCTGATGAACGCGACAGAACGACTTCCATTCGTTACTTTAAAAAAAGTTATGCCAAATGGAACTGTCCCTGTAACGAGTCGGTCCAACTTCACTTCTCTACAACATTCCACAGCATTTTCTACTAACTTTCGACTCATCCTTAACAACGCACGCATTGCGCCGCCGCCCAGCTTGTTCTTTGACTCTGCGATTGCCTCGAGTGACATTTTTGTATGGGATGACATATGATGAAGCTGAGATGCTTGAGAAGGCGCCCGTCTCTCATAGAAAAATGCCAACGAAAAAAAATCAAAGTTACGGAATAAACGCGGCTCTGCGCGAGCGCACAGTGCACACCTTATTATACATAAGCTCTAACATTCCACTGATCGCCAACTACCGCTCGGCGCCACGACGATCGTATGCAACGCTTATTGTATAGATAAGGGCCCGCCATTGTTGCAGTACGAATCGTGTTTGAGTCGTTCCTCGCACCTGTTCTCCCCCGCTTGCGTGTTCGGTCCGCGACACTGTTGCCGGAGCGCACTTTCCAACGAAAAAGACACTGTAACGAGCATTTATATTTTAAAATGAAATTTTTCAAAACTTTTATCGTTTAAGTACATATCTCGTTAGTACAATCTCCATTATTGTAAACCAATTATACTATCATATCACTTTGTAAATTCCCATATCATTTTGCTGTGAACGAACTGGCGTTTTGTATATAATACAGCACCGGACGGCCCGCGCGCGGCTCGTTTCGTGGCATCACTGTTGTGAGGGATAAGGCAGCTTACACACACGGGGCTTGAGAGCTTATAGGAACGCATGCTAGCTACAACCGTTTCGACGACCGGCTTTACCACAGACGGGCAGCTATATTTATTGGAACTACGTTTTACTGCGAATCCGCAATTGGACTTGGCCTATGTTTTAGAGATCTTGATGTTATTTAGATAGATGTCTCCATGGAACATTCAAATCATCATGTATGCCACGACTCCGTGGCCGTAGCTCGTAATGGATTCGTTAACCGTTCGCAAGTAGTTGTAGTCGTAGCCAACTCAGTATGAACCGTGTTATCTTCATGTTGTGTATGTTACATATATCAAGTTATCGAATGTATCGTTAGATGAAAACATGTAATCGAACTGCTTTCGCGCCCTAGTAGTCTCTTGACAGTCTCCTTGTTTCCGTCTATGCAGCAGTAGTGTACTTGTTACTCATATTGTAGCGATCGCAGGCGCATTCTCTTCCCCTCTCACTATACTCTGAGCCGCCACACGCAATTATACTTATACCATATAATGATGTGACAGTATATGTTCACTAGATATTCCACGATATATACATGTGTCTATGTATTAGTAACAATTGTCTACCCTTTTAGATAAGATATATATTGGAGAGATGACTTTTATACGAACGTTAAGTAATCTGTTGACGCTAACTGTACTGTAAGCACTTCCCTTAATCATATCATGGTTTATTATCATATCGTTTTATTAGTTTGGCCGCGGGCGAGCAGCAATGTTGCGTTTGTTCTAACCCAATTTCATATATTACGTGGTTGTTGTGGGCTCGCGGCCGGTATGGTATATGTTATTATTACTAATTTGGCTAATATAGTATATAAGAGAAAAAAAGCACAATTTATTATTATTTTAACGAAAATTACTTATAATATGATCACTAATGTATCGTTAATAATTTTATTGTATTCGTTTATCGGTAAATATTAACGCGGGTGGGTTTGTTTGGAGGTAATCCTTTGTATCGACAGATAGGATGGCATATATATAACTACTTCCGCATTTATTTCATTATGTCTATGTTTGGGCGATGTTTTAGATGGTAATTAATCCAAATAAACATTCGGCATAGTCAATGGCGTTTCATTTCCCCCTCCGCTCATAGTCCCTGCCCCCCTGCGCTCTGCGTTCATCCAGCAACACCGAGAGCTCCCTTCGAAACAATGACACATACGAGCGAATATGAAAAGAAGAAGAAAAACCATAAAACGCCCGGAATTAGATGGTTTACTTTTTATATTTCAAATCACCAATATTTTAAGATATTCAACTATATTATTACATGGCTACAAAGGATAACAAGGAAGCTTACTATACTCTGCCAATTGCCAAATAATTTAGAAAATATTCTAAAATCGTACTTGACAGATCCAGTATCTCCCATTTATTATTTACAAAAATTTTTGGAGTCAATTGTTGTCCATTAAAGAGGCTTTTTATTAGTTACTTGTTTGGACGATATTTCGTGTATCGGCAACTTACAGAAGGGCTGTTTTAAATACATCACAGAAGTAGTAACCTCACTCAATAACTTCGGTTTTGAAACAAAAAAGTGAATTATTACCAAACCAACAAACTTTCTTTTTTGGATTTGAGTTAAAATCGCGGTGTGCCTTATTCCAGCGTGACCACAGTCGAGTTTCAAAAAGTCGCTATTTAGTCGGTTCTAGTCGCAAAAAAACTAGATTTAGTCGGTCCTACGTTCAAAAGTTATATGGGTGTTTAGCTGTCCACTCTGGAATAAGCTTATTCCAGCGGCACCATTTCTCAATTTCGATAACCACAACACCTAGCTTTGATCTGATTGCACCCAGAAAAAGTGAAATACTCAGTTCTAGAAGTCAATGGTTCTAGTCGCAAAATTTTAGAATTAGTCGCTCCTCTGTTTAGAAGATATTGGATATTCAATTATTTTCATTGATATGTACATTTACGTAGAAAAATCGTACACATAATGGAAAATGTATGTCTATACTCCGTCCAACCATTTATTTCACTTTTGACAGCTCGAATTCTAATCAATTAGTGATGTCCTAATGCGTTTACGTTGGTTTCCGATTAGATTTTTTTATAACAATCGATTTCATTTATGAAGAAGCTTAAATTGTGAATGTGAGCGGGTTAAAAAAAAAAGACATTGCCTGATTGGAATCGTGATGTTGCGTTTGACAATTTGTGTACTCAAGAATTAATACATAATTAATGTTAATTAGGATTCAAGTGAAGATTCCCGTTCACATGGAGAAGAATCCGACGATTCATTATAGTAAACAATACAAATTTATTATAATTGGTTATAATTTATTTCGGTTCTTTATTTAGGTTTATTATTTATTTTATTCTATTATACAGGTACAGGGTCAAGAGCACGTCAAGCCTGACTTAAATGCAACTCTATGCCGCTTACTTCTTATGCGTCTATGGTTGCACAATGATTCTTTATCAATAATTACGGAACTTCGGAGGCTTGCTTGTTATGTCAAAAATTAAATAAATGGACGCAGTATAAGGAAGATTACCGCTCCAAATGTTCTTTGTGAAATCACGATACTATCGTGCTCGGGGTGAACAATTTTGAATAAATAAATATTTTAAATATCTACTGAATTTTTAGAGTCACATTTAACCGTAACACAAATTGTAGTTGAAAATGGTTAGCCAGAGAAAAGTCGCTATTTAGTTGGTTCTAGACGAAAGTCAAAAAACTAGATTTAGTCGGTCCGCCGATCAAAAGTTATAAGGTGTTTTACTGTCCAAGCTGGAATAAGCTTATTCCAGCGGCACCATTTCTCAATCTCGAGAACCACAACACCTAGCTTAGATCTGATTATACTAAAAAAAGTCGTGATTTAGTCGGTTCTAATCGTATAAAACTAGATTTAATCGTTACACCGTTTTGAAGTTATTAACGTGTTTTACTAACCACGCTGAAATAAGCTTATTCCGGCGGCACCATTTTTGAATCTCGAGAACCACAGCTATCTAGCTTGAGTCTGATTGCACCCAGAAAAAGTAGTGAATTAGTCGGTTCTAGTCGCAAAATTATTATTCGCCCCTTTGTTTAGAAGACACAACAGATTTATTATTTTAAGGTTATACCTGTGCCAGTCTCGGAGCTGGCGTACAAATTTTGGCAATATACGGGATTTGTTACTTATTTAAAAAAAAATACAAACTATTTGAAGGTTTTAATAATGTTTAGTTTCATTTTAGTTTTTAAGGAAAATACTAAAAAATATGCAGTTATTTTTCCATAACGGCATTAGGATTTATCGATTGTCATGATATTTATTAGTGTATGTAAGTCGTGTTGGGCTCCTGGTTTACACAAGACCAACGAGTTACGAGGCGCGTGGAGTACAGTTGCGTACGACTATGTATCAGAATAATGATTGAATGACTTAATTAAATAAACTATGACTACCATAATTTATAGCGCCAGTCATTTTCAACTACAATTTGATGACTCTAAAAATTCAGTAGACATTTAAAATATTTATTTATTACACTCTATCAATTCTAAATTATTTTAATAATTACGAACACAATATACAGAAAAATATGGAGAGACAACGCAAAAAAGACGTTAAAAGGAAGGAGAAAAAAGAAGACACTTAATTTCATACCACTCCGCCGTCGAGTGCTTCGTTTATACGTGTAAAAGTTGGTAGAGCAACATGCAATAGACGAAGACTTGTCGCCGAAAATAGTTATCTGAAAATAAGAATTGAAAATTGAAACTTGAAAACGTCACATTTAAGCTACTGCTCGTTCACTACGCTGACCTCCCTGAGAAGAACGAGCAAGAAATTCTAGGGATTGCTCTTTTCAAATAAACTTAAATGCTACGGAATAGACTTTGAATCAAATTTGTTGTGGATTCTGGAGCCGTGTCGTCTTTCTATACATCTTTATCTAACACGTATCTTCAATTTTGTAATACGATTTTTCCATCAAAATATTTTTAATGTAGTTTTTAAACTTAGGAAATGATAAACTTAATATATGCTCCGGAATCTTATTGTAAAAACGTATACAGTTCCCCATAAAAGAGTCGTTTACCTTGGTTAAACGAAATCGTGGTACCATGAGTTTGGACTTAGCTCTAAGGTTAATATTAGGGATATCTTCTTTCTTATTGAAATTATGTATATTTTTACGGGCATACAAAATATTTGAGTAAATCTACTGTGATGCCACAGTCATGATACCAGTCTCGTTAAACTTTTCTCTGAGAGAAACCCGAGAGCCTAGACGGCACGGTACGGTAACGGTATTCTGTAGCATTTAAGTTTGAAAGGGTTGTAACCCTAACAACCCTGATGAGGATCACGGCAGTAAAACAGGAAACTTCCGGTCCACAAATTTATTTAACGTGAAGTAAAAGGTAAAGTAATGAAAAAAAAACCCTTATCGGGTTGTATTATGTTGAATTACGGATAGACTGTTATTCGCTTATTATGGTCGATACATGATTTACATTGATTGTATCATGATTAAACTTGAAAAGAATAAAAAAATTAGACAATTTGATTTAGTAGTATCTGCTATCGCGGTCAAGCAGGCAGTGACCGTCGAAAGAAATAAAATCAGAATGCGAAGGAAAATGGAACAATTCAAAAAATGTAAGGATGTCACACCGTCACAAGTTTATTTGAAAAGAGCAATCCCTAGAGTTTCTTGCTCGTTCTTCTCAGCGTATTGAACAAGCAGTATTTTAAAAAATTACATTTTCAAGTGTAATAATTGTACCTATGGAATAAATGATTATTTCACTTTGACTATATAATCCCGAGGCATAAAATCAAAAAACAAATTCGATTCTCGAATGATTCCTCATAACTTTACAAAAAGCCTTTTGTAAATAAGACTGAAGTACGTATTTCATATGAGACATTTCGAAAACCGCCATTTTGGATATTAATCGCGGAAGTTGATTACAGAAACACTTGTCTGTGTGCCATTCACACTAATAATGATTTTATTATTCGAGCGCTTTACAATACTAAAACGATCCCCTACGTGTCTGCCTCTGTACCTATTGACCAAATCATTATGTTACGAAACTGGCTTAGCATTTAATTGTTCGGAAAGACGTTGCGCGGACTATAAAGATAAAAAAATTCAATATAACAAAATTTGTTATTTGCTTGCATTGTCGGTTAGAGGTGGTATGTTACAATGCTACAATGCCCTGCGGGTCCAGTACAATAACGTTTTCAGGGTTCTGTTGAGGCTGCCGCGGTACTGTAGAGCTTCAGTCATGTTCACAGATGCGAACGTAGATGACTTCTACGCAAAAAGATCGCATCAGTGTTGCATAGCAGAACGTTTCGATTCGGTCATTCCTGGTCGATATATCGATCTACATGATAGAAAATCTGTAGTTCGATAGATCGACCTCTACCAACTAACTAATCCTTTATGCGCAGTCATTGTTTCGAGATATACACACTCCTTGTTTGCTTACAATTAAATTTTAAATTAGATAATTAAATTATACCTGTATTAAAAATATATTATGATTATTATTATTATTATTATTGTTATTATCTTAGAATAATAACGCATAGAATGATAGTTTCATATCAAACGAACTGTCATTTGTTTACTGTTTTAGGCTAGTAGGTTAATTTTCTGTTTTAGTGAATATTTATATAAAAATACAAGTTGAAACGCGTTACTTCCTTGTGGAATGTGATGTTAGTGTCTATTTTATGTTTGTCTGACGTATTTTTACACTCATTTGCCGCACATTTCGTCAATTTTAGCTAAAATTCTTGAGCTGTTCGCGGTGCAAGTTGACCTTGAGCACTGACGGCCCGCCCGCTCGTGTAGGCCCTTTTGGCGCGCTTCAATTTGCCTCACTTAGCGTGTGCGGACTAGGTTTCTATGCGTTATTATTCTAAGGTTATTACTATAAAGACATTGTATATCATTAAATTCATATTTTTTGTTTTTTAGGGCACATGTTACTAAAACAATTCTTAAAGTTTTGTAACTAATATGCTATGGACTTATTTGTCTGAAATAAATAATTTTTGTTGTTTTTATTTTGTTTGTTTTTGTAACTGTTGTTATAAAAGGAGAAGAAAAAAATGCAAGAAATCTGTAAAAGAGAAAGTAGTGACTGCTAAGAAAAATCTTTTGGCAATACTAAACTCTAATTTACCGACCTATATGAAGCATGTTGCTTATGTCGTAGATCAATCAAATGCCTTTCAAACTATCAAACAAAGATTAGCGCCCCAAGATGGACTCCTCCAAAGAGATTTTTCCGAAAACTACAAGTGTATGCATGCCCAGCTCGAAAATACAGTTGTGTTTACATACCGCTGTTTATTATAGCACCCAATCAAAACCTCCGAATAATTATATCGCAAATACTTCGTTGTGTACCGTGTCAGCAAATATCAGACATGATCCTGTTATGATGTGTACACTTACAAACTTTGATACATAGAAATCAAAAACTATCGCCAAATTTAAAAACTTAACACGTTTTAAGTGATGGGCCCTCTACTCGGTATCGAAATAAATCCATGTTCCACTTTGTAGCAACATACCTTAGCTAGAAGTTTAATGTCAATTCCATCACTTGGCATTATAGCGAGAGGAGACATGGAAAAGGTGCACCGCATGGCGTAAGTGATTGCGACAGATCTGCGACAACTGTGTTGTGAGATCCAAGACGTTTCTAGTTTGGATGAGATGATGTTATGCTTGGATAAGTGTTGTAGGGGCATAAAAGTCTATAGAATAAATGATACCAAATTGGTCAACCGTGATTGGTACCATATACGCTTTCCATCGAATGTCTACTGCGTTGACCCTAGCGGTGCAATCCGTTGGTTTTCTTTTCGGTTACTAATTATTACAAAAAAAACTTTAATTCACAAATGCCACAACGTAGTTTGAAGCAGAACGAAAGAACTCAATGAAACTCGTGTAATATCTACCACAGCTAACAAAGAAAGATAAGGGTGATTATGAAGGGACTGAAATAAACAATAGGTAATGGGATTCTATGGACCAAACAGGGAAGTTTGACCGTTGTAAAATTTAAAAAACTATGCTTTTCTTTCTTTCCTTCTTTTGTTCTCATACGTGTAGGAGATGATTTTTATATTTAAACCATTTTGACCATTTGTGACATTTAGTCCTGGTTTTATTTAAATAAATTAAAAGTGATATAATAATTTCAATGCGTCCTTTCATCTAATACCATCCACTACGTAATTGGATACATTTAGTCAGGGTACGTTCCGCAGTACCCCAGGGGTCCATGTTAGGACCACTACTGTGGAATCTGGGGTACGATTGGGTGCTGAGGGGCGCGCTGCTCCCCCGGACGGCGGTCATCGCGTACGCCGATGGCACAGTAGCGGCGGACATGGTGGTCCGCCGAATACAACTGCTGGGGCTCGAGGTCGCCGTGCCGAAGATGGATGTGGCCGTCTTCACACCCTAGAGGTGTGCAGCCGGTGGGATGAGTAGCGCCGTACTCTGACGGGGATAATAGGGCGGGAACTCTTGCTGCCGGGCGTGGTTGCCGCCTACTCGGTAGCGAGGAGTCCTGGTGGTGGTGGAGCTGGTGCGCGCGGACGCGGCGGACGCGCACCCGCTTCGGCGCAGACGTACGGGGAGAAGGCGAAGGCAGTTCGTTGCTCGCCTGATCCCCTAGTGAGGCCAGCGGGCTCTGGGCAGAGACTCCGGAGCCTGCATTGCACGCCCTCACTCGTCTGGGGTGCGGGACGGAGGACAACTGACCTGCCCCTCCGTTGGCGCGGGAGCCCTGGCGCAAGGCAGGGCGGCCGGGCGGCGTCGTGGTGAATGTGCATCGACCCCACAGCGTCGATTCAACCGCCGGGACGTAAATCCGGGAGGGTTTTAGTGGGGTAGGCCCTCCAGTCTGGAGGCAGAGTCCCCACATAACCCCTAAGTCTCCCTGGGCTCAGGGGTATCTATAAAGATTTACCCCCCGTAAAAAAAAGAAAAAAAGGGTACGTTCCGCAACTATGGGACACGGAGGGAAACTATTTTAAATATTGTAGACGGGATATTTTGCTTCATGGACATAATATTTTATTTTTAAAGTTGCTCGCCGCATCTGAGAATCGAACGTATAAAGTTTTTTTTATGATATCGAACGAACGAGTCAAATTATAAGGACTAATTCCTTATAAGTAACATAGCACCTTAATTCAAAGAAACATCATGAAATTTTACATTTGTTTACGATTTATCTATTTTATCTGTCTATCTTGTTTGGGGACAATGAATTGTAACGTGTTTTACTTTCGATTTTTGTTTACTTTAGAAGTTTAATAGCATTGCAATATCATTCCATATTAATTTACTAATGAGTACAAACGTACCCACTTGAGGAACTACTTCCTTGCAGAGTTTGCTAGAAATGATATTTGAACATTTGATAAAGTAATTGTGAATACCGTAGATAGGTTGGGCGTTTAAAGTTTGTTTTGTTTGTCGGTTTTTCTAATAATTACATTAAAAAAAAGCTTGTGGAATTACATATATTTAGTAACTCCAATAAACCTGATTTCTCCCCTAATTTGCTACCCTTAGAGGTGGAATATTTTCTTTAAATTTCAATGGGAATAATACAGCAATAACCGGCTGCACATATGAATAAAGACGTGACACGAAGACCTGATACAGATGATGTTAATGTCACAGTCGTCTAATTGAGAGCACGTGATGCAAGCCGACCTTTTCAACCCCGACGCAAAAAGAGGGAAGTTATAAGTTATATGCTTTTGTGTGTGTTGTATCTGTGTGTCAGTACGACATGGTGCTAGATTCCACGCAAATTTAAGATATACGATTCTTTTATGGGGAACTGTACACGTTTTTTGCAACAAGATTCCCGAGAATATATTAAGATTATTATTTCCAAAGTTTAAAACTTACATTATATATTTTAATTGAAAAGTCATATTACAAAATTGAAGAGTATATGTGTTAGATAAAGATGTACGGAAAGACAACAAGAGTCTAGATTCCACACAATTATGATTCAAAGTATGTTTACTCCATAGCATTTAAGTTTATTTGAAAAAAGCAATCCCTAGAATTTGTTGCTCGCTCTTGTCAGGGAGGTAGTGAACGAGCAGTAGCTTAAAAAATGACATTTTCAAGTGTAAAAATTGTACCTATGGATAAATGATTATTTGAGTTTGACTTTGAAAGTGTATTCTTTACTTAAGTTTATTTCAAAAGAGCTACTCCTAGAGTTTATTGCACTTTCTTGTCAGGAAGTCAACATAGCAAATGAACAGGAGCTTAAAAAATTACGTTTTCAGTGGTACATTTTATTTTAGCTACGGAATAAATGAGCTGTTTGTTTTTTTTTTGTTGTAAGGTTGTTCAAAGGTCAGCAACTTTTTTCCCAGTGGGTTTCAGACGGGATCTCAGTCATGAAATGAATATTCATTTTACTTACACTTGTTAGTAGTGAGTTGCTTACTACGGACAAGTGGAAGTCTTAGTAAGTAACTTGTAAGTAGTGGATCAACCTGACATTTGATACACTATGGAAATCGTAAGACATATAACAATATGGTAACTTTCATCTGATGCTGCAACCTGCACACTCTGCAGATTAATTCAAGTACGATAAAATTATCGTATTTGTCCTCATTTAATTGGTCTCCACGAGTGCTTGAGTTACAGATGGTGACTTTATTGACATTTTAGAGTACACTGTTTGTATAGGTTAAACAACAATAGGTATTAACAATTTAATTTCATTTTATTGAACGTCACAATGTTTGACCACCATGTTATTCAATTGTTTTTGTGAAATTACTCCACTAGTTTTGTTGTAATTATTAATACAAAGCTCGAACACTCAGAAAAAATTCCTTCGATCCGACAAACTGCAACAAGCACATAGAAATATTCGTAAGGTCCGCTAGTTCATCCCGTGGCTTAGTTGCCATAGCATCTGGCACGGTTTGCTGGAAGACGTCGGTTCGAATCCAGCCGGATCGAAGGAAATTTTTCGTAGTGTTCATCTTTGTATTAATATTTTTTTTTATTTATTCATTTTGCATTTGATTTCACAGAAGGAAGAGGCACTTAAGCTTGGACTTTTATAATAATAATAAGATTAATGAGACGCATTGATCGCGGCAGGTACCCGCGATGCACGTAGGAACCACGTACCTTCGGGAACATGCTGGCCCAAGGACGGCGATTGCGTGTAAGGGCCATTATTCAATCGAGGCGAGCGGGCGACCCCAACGCGGTAGTACCACCTCGTTATGGAGACCAGGAATTATCGGCAGGGACAGGACACCACTTCACATACAAATTAGCTATCTGGAAAACTGTAAAAATGGCTTTAACAGCAAGTACGATAAAGAGCATGACGTGACGTACGTCATGGAGGTTGGGTGAAAAATAAAAAAGCGTCAAGATTTATTTATTATGTTTTTTGCTGTGCCTAATGAGGCAAGTAGATGCATTGTATCTTAGGTACTTAGTAGTTCCTATATGAAGATAAGTACTGGTTGACACTTTTGATAGCTGGTCAGCACCTTTTTTTTTAACATATAATAGACACACGCTTGGTCACAATCTCACCTGATGTTAAGCGACGATGGGACGCGTGTGCCTAAAAAAATGCCTATTCACTCTAACCTTGAATATAGCCCCAAATAATACTTTACGGGAACTACAGATGCTGCGTAGAGCATTCCATTCCTTTGCCGTACGCATCAGAAAGGAGGAAGCAAAGCGCTTAGTGCGAATAGGTGGAATATCAACGACGTAAGAATGGAGTGCTCCGGACCTTCTAGTCGACCGAAGGAGGAACGGTGAGGGTGGAACTAAATTGAAAAGTTCCTCCTCCCCGATTTTCTATCGGCAGGCTAAAAATTATTGTTAATAAACCTCTTTGCTTTTCGCTCCAGCGAGTCCAAGGCAGCTAACTGGTAATGGGCAGAGCCGTCCCAAAAGTGGCAGCAGTACTCCATCCACGATCGAACTTGTGCTTTATACAGATTTAAAAGCTGTCCAGGTGTGAAGTAACGCCTGACTTTGTAAAGTACGCCTAGTTTTCTGGCAGCAGTTTTTGCCAAGCACTCGATGTTGAGGTTGGATGATAAGTGCAGACCAAGTAGCTCAAGGTGGTCCCTTATCGGCACGGTTACATCTGGGAAAGTCGGTGTAGGGGACTCCGTTTTGACGTGAAAAGACACGCCTGCGTTTTAGCCGCATTAAACCTGGCCCTGTTAGCATCTCCCCAGTCGGAAGCCGCTTTCAGACTCAGGTCCAACCGGACATCAACAACAGGCATCTCAACAACTAAGCTACGTTTATCCGTATGAGATATCTTCACATTCTCCTGCTCTACAACTATTAGATGTGAATCTTTTTTCATACTAAATCTTTTTAAACATATAGAGTGAAATTGTATAATATTGAGATAGTCCTCAGGAATCTTTGCGTGATCACGAATTATGTTTGAGCAATAGTATTGTTAACTCTTTTTGACTTTTATCAATTTATTGACTTAAAAGTTCAAGAGATTTAGTTTTTGAACACCACCACCACCATTTCATTTTTTTAAATTAATTTATAATTATTAATACAAAGATCGAACACTCAGAAAAAACACTCAGAAAAAATTCCTTCGATCTGATTAATGCTTAGTTGGTATAGCGTCTGGCACGGTATGCAAGAAGACGTCGGTTCGATTCCGACCGGATCGAAGGATTTTTTTCTGAGTGTTCGATCTTTGTATTAATAATTATAACAAACTAGTGGAGTAATTTCACAAAAAATAATTGAATATCAATTCAATAAAAATTTAATTGAGTTAATTTAGTTTTTTTTGACAATAAGTTGTAATGTTACACAATAAGGTGTATTGTAATACTCATTAAATTAGTTTTAACGAGGTTTATAGTAATTAATTATTTATGTACTTGGTACTTGGTGCAATTTTTTATGTAACTCGTGTAAATAAAATTTCACCTAGTATTAAATATCACTACCACAAGACCGGTCATTCTTTGGGAGAGGCCTTAACCTAGCAGTTGTCGTCTTTTGGTTGAGATGATGATGTGATGATGACGATGATACCAGTACTTCGAATATCCATCGAGTCCAAGTGGACCTGCTTGTCACTTTCCAGAGGTGACGTGCTCGTGACCAGGAGCTAGTTTTGGCTAGCAGCCAAGAAACAAAGAATTCATAATTTCCTTTGTTCCGAGTGCGAGTACCTACCTACCTGGGCGCCGCGGCGGATCGGTGGCTGCACCCTTGCAATCGGAGCCTGCGCTTTGCATCCCGCTAGCTCCATCGATCTGTCTGGAACGCAACGGCTCACTTCCTGTGCACTAGACTAGTTAAAAACAGTTCAACGTTTTTGATTAAATTCTACTTTTATCACAGAAAGTCTAAAAACTATTCAAACTCATGCAGGTCGAAGCGTTGACGGCATGCCAGTTGGCGGAATACGATAACTTTTAAAAAGTGTTAGCTTAAAAATATTACAATTTCGTTGTTTAAAAACATTAAACACTAAATCCGTCATTTTATAAGTCGCCATACAATGTTTCTCATTTTAAATACCTATACTTAAAAGTTATGGCAAATTTTCACAACCTGCAAAACTGCACAAAGTTGCAACGTTGCGTTTCTCGTGAGGTAGATCACAGTCGTTATGACGCAAGCGTAGACTCCCTAGGTCACTATAAAAGGCTAGATTCCCCCTGCCTCCTCGCAGTTTCAGGAGCGACCGCCCATTGCAACACTGTGCCTTATATTGTGATAAAGTGTTTTATTCTTTGTTTGCAATTTTTTGTTCCTAACCGCTTATTTAGGTGTCGTGATCATTGAAAACCTCGAGCGCAAAACCGGTTGGACAAAGACTTTGACGCAGCCAGTGGACGGTCGCCCTGGAATTGCGCGTCGACTGCAGAGGCCGTGGCGCGGCGTAATCCGGCGTGACCATCAACTTTATTCCCCGCCCACCACGTCTCTCTGCACACGACGACTTCTTGTATATACTGTATATGACATAATAGACGAAGAAGGAAATCTACAAGGAAACGAAAACAAAATCAAATTCAGCAGGTCTGCTGCATCGTTTGAAACTCCTGTACGTTTATGTACAGTATAGAATAAGTTATGATAAGCGCAATATTGTGCGCAACCGACAACCGACTTTGGAGTATCAGGTAAGTTTCTTAGATGTTTTGACGTAATTTATTGTCTGTCTTTATTTACCTTTCCTTTACTGTATTATTTTTGCCTGGTGAATTTTATTTTAACCGTGTTATATTGCGTTATGTAGTATGAAATGCACTGCGATCCATTTTAGTGATTTAAGCTTTTTGGGCGTTTTCATGTGCGTGCACGCACTTAAATGTGTGTTCGTTGTTCGTTTGTCGTGTTGAGGTCCCGGGCAAATCGATAGAGCTAAGCCCCGTTCTGCGCATGTACGGACGATCCCCCTTGACCCCCTCCCCCACCCTTCGCTTCAAGTAGCCTGTCCTGGCTATCCGACGCCATTTTGTGTAACGAAAATTTTGTCAGTTTATATTTAAAGGGACCCAAAATGGCTTATAGATCTTGCGGAATGAACCTGGCCTAAATAACCCCTAACTTTTGCTACGATGGAGCATTCGTTTAATGTGTGCCGTAGTCTTCGCTTGAACTTGCAACGGCTGCATACTTGTTCAGTAGGCATTAAGCAGCAGCCATTTTGAACTTACGAAATCAGTAAAGTACCTACACGCGTTTCGCGCAGGCGTACAAAGGCGTACCTTTCGCGCAGGTGTAGAAGTGCAAACAACAATGGCTGCCTTTCAACCGTCATTTTTAAATATTTTTACTGTATCGACCCAATGTGAAGCGTGAATTTTCTTTATCTTGATAATTAATAACCTCTGCAGGTTGCCGTCACCAAAATCTACCCGTATACTAACATAACAATTTAACTTGGTTTAAAACTCAAAGTTGGATTTTCTTAAATTCTTTCCTTTTATTATCACCGTCATTTCAGCCGAGAGACGTCCACTGCTGCACATAGGCTAAAGATCTTCCCTTTTGTTTCAACGATTATAAAGTACAAAATAAGGCTTCACGGTGTGTTTTATGCACCTTCCAGTTGCTCTTCCTATTTATTACTTCTACGCTCTTCAACCGGGGCATTGTCTGAACTTCTGAAAACATGAATGCAACGGGGTAGTTTACAAACCATTAAATACCATAAGATGTTGTCCCTATTCATAAGGCATGTCATGGTTACCCGCTCCTCGCAATCAAAAGCGAAATTACTCTGTGATGTTTACCACACGGTTCTGGCCCACCGGCGGCTGCGCGCGGCTGCATCATGACCCACATCACGCTTGAGTTTCTGCAGCAAATATTGAAAGACGATTATCCCGGGGTTGATATACAAGAGTTCGAGGTATCATTTCTTCTAAATTATCTTCGCGCAGTGCTTTCAGTTCTAGTGCAGCGACACTTTTGTGTTTCTGCCATTTTGGATAATGCGAGATTTGTTTGTTAGGATTTCACATTTACAATAAAATTTTCTTCACTAGACACTTTTGCAATTTTAAATCCTGCTATAAAATGAGTACAAGTTCAACACTGCTTGTGCTATACCTACAACAGCTAACGGCTGCGAGTGTCAACGCAGTGAACGAAGGGCGCCTACTTGCACTGCGGTTGTTTGTTTCTATGTTGTTCTATCGTTCTAATACGTAAAATATAATTATACAAAATCACGATAATTTATCATTGTGTTCATTATTTTTTAGGGCGCTCCAGGAACCAATCGTGGAGATAACTATACATCGATGGTGTATCGGATCACCTTGAAAGGTATTCGAAGACACACCGAGCCCGACACTCCTTGTGAATATAAACACGAAGAGCCTTGGTTAGGTTCTATCATCTACAAATGTCTTCCTGAAAGTATTTTACGTAGGGAAGCGTTTAAAAGTGACGAGTTGTTCTGCAACGAAGTCGCTTTCTATAACAAAATATGGCCTGCGCTTTCGGAATTCCAACAAAAATGGAACTTGAAGTCACCGTTCAAGTCCATACCGAAATGCTACCTAGCGCAGAACGACCTAGTGATTTTAAAAGATCTAAAACAGTTGGGATTTGTTATGCCTGATCGACGCAAGGGTCTGAGCATTGAACAATGCTACTTCGTGTTAAAGCATTTGTCACAGTTCCACGCACTGTCGTTAGCGATGAAGAGCGACAACCCTGAAGGATTCTACGAACTGTTAAATATACAGGATGGAATCTCTGAAGGTAAGATGCATATTCAATTGCCTGTTTTTTTGGTTACATTTACCCAACTAATTACATATCTTGTATGAACTAACATGTTACTTTTTATTTCAGTGTTCTTCGCAGCGGAGAATCAAGAATATTACCGGACTTACTATCGTGAAGCCACACGCAACGCTATTGCAATGGTAGAACAGGAACTCGAGGGTTGCGAGAATAAACACACGTACCTCGAGAAGTTCAGGCAGTTTTGCGACGAGGACAACTTCTTCCAGACCATGGTGGAGTTGGTAACACCTAAAGAGTCTCTCGCAGTAATAAACCACGGTGACTGCTGGACGAACAATCTACTATTCCGTTACGTCGACGGTGATATAGCCGAGGTACGCTGGTCAGAACAAATTATATAGTTTTGTTCGTGTGTTCATTATTTCAAAACTTTTTTATTTTTCAGATGTACATAGTAGATTTCCAACTGGTCCGTTACGCATCACCGACTCTTGATCTGGCTTACTTGATGTATCTTTGCCTGACGCGTGAGCAACGAGAGGAACACCTGCCGTCTCTGCTGAAGTACTACTCGGACGAGCTTCATTGTCGGCTCCTCGAAATGAGCGACCAAAAATCCGAGTTTAACCACAGTCTAAGCAGAGACGCGTTGCACAGCATGTTTGTACTTAATGTTCTTTTGAACTTAAGATTTAATGCATAAGGTATCCACGATTATTCATTATTTTCTTGACGCAGGTTGCAAACGGAGTTCAAGCGAAGCAGCCGCTTCGGCCTTGGGATTGCATTAGACATGTACCCCATCATGACATGTGACAGCACAGAAGCTCCTAATCTTTATCAGGCTAAGGTTAGTACAAGCACTTGCCCTCGTCAAATCAGTTAGTTTCACTTTGTTTTTGTTCCGTCTGTACTCATATTGAATGGTGTTGCAGGAAAGCGGTCTAGCGCCTTCACATGACAACGTGAAACCTGTATGGACTTCAAATGCAGTGTGCAGAAAGAAAATGAGTGATTTAGTGCAAGAACTTGTTGACGGTGGCTTGTTATAATATAGTTAAGTATTCCTAAGTAATAAGCGCTTAAGCAGATAGTCATAATTGAGTGTCGTATCCGTGGACAAGATGTAATCGGTGTGAACTGTGAGAGGAGAGAAGTGTAGATTACAGCAAAGTATATCAACAGTCTTCCATTCTTCAAATCAAAACGATCACATATAATCAAATAATATCTACGCTGATCGGGGATACTTGTTTGTATATTACTATATTTAAGATATTATTGTGCTGGGCCGTATCTTATATAGGATACATGGTAGATTAGGATAAACTATTTTCCCGCGGGTGTACTTATAACATTCAGTTGACACGATATTCCACCACCGCCTTTATGGACATGTCTTTTTATGCAGCAAAAATGTCATCCCTTGAGAAAAAATACAGGAGCTGCTTACAGTTTAACAATTTACGGTGACCAGAATCTACGCAATCACTGAGGACTTCAGATCTTGTGTCCCGCAATACAACCATCGAAGGATTTGCGATGCTAAGTATATTCATAACTCCTTAGTACCGCAAACGCCTACAGCGGTAGCCACTGCCCACCAGGTGGTAACGAACTTTCCTTAAACTTATTGCTATTAGTAAGCGCAAGGATGGTTGGTAGCGAGGGAGGGAGGGAGGGTTCACTGCGTGTTTCTGGTCAACGTATAAATTTACACCCGTCGGTCGGTCCAGGACTAAGATTTTTTTCATCTTATGTTTTTCTTTCTCCTTCTCTGATTGTAGACGGAACGATAAGTATTAGATGGAACGATAAGTTTAGTTGTAAGGATTTTAACTTTGTACGTTGAGCTTGGCGATTGTTTTTATTTGTTCAACAATTTTCCGTAATACAACTCTCTACTTCACATTATTATTCTAACTTTTTATTCAAACGTTATAAAATTTGATCCAGTTGCTTTAACATCTACGTCTGTTTCGTAATATTTTGAACTACCTAGTTTTGTTATATTTCGAACATTTAAGCTATCATCTGGAACTGATTTTTCTACTCACGCACAGAAGACACGAAGTCCCAAAGGGCGGAGGCGAGTCTAGCAGACGCGACCAAAAAAATAGAAAAAATAAATAAAAAACATACAAAAAAAAAAACGAATAATAAAACGTGTTGTTAGATTTCGTTAACCGACCCTTTTTTCATATCACTTGGACTTATATAATACATTACCTAGTGTCTAAGCTGTGACACGCAAAGTGAAATCGAATAGTTTAAGTAAATGTATTAGGTTAGAGACCCCAACTTAACTCTAATATTAGACTAAATAATAGAGTTAAGTTTGGATAAACGCCTTGGGTGGGCAAAAAAAATATAAAAAATGAAAATCAAATAAAAAATATAGATGTTGTAACGTGATGTGTTCGTGAGTAGTGGTCATAGGTTTGTTATCACACGTAGTAATAACAAGTCTATGATAGGTACTGAGCGAATTCGCCTTCCGTCTCGAGTTATAGTATTCACCGGGAGACGTAAATGTAGCTCAGTATTGTAGTTTGTAAAGTAGGTATTTATTGTATTTGGTTTACACAAATTAACAAATATAATAAATTTGGTGTCAAAAAATAAACAAAAAACCCAATTTTTGTTTTATTGTTTCCTCTCAGTACAAAAATGTGACTTATAATATACTCTTAGAGTTTGCAAGTAGACTTAGTCATCATGGGTAGCGACGCCTAGATCAACCACTACCTGAAAATGATCACTAGGCTTAGCAAGTTGAGTAAGTAGCGCTGGTGCTGCCGTCTATGGTGTTACAAATACATCTTCACGGTGTGATCAAAATGGACATAATTTGTTGTTCGACGGACAGGCTTATGCCTGTTTTGTCAGCTCCGCCTAGTTTCTTTGTGTATGTTCTAGTTTTTCTATTAAATTTCAGACATTAGGTATGAAATAAAAAAGATTTCTAATCTCGGTGGTAGACTACAGAGTCTTAGTCCTTATGAGCGCTTTGTCCTCGCTCCACCGGTGGTGCCTCCCAAGAATCCGTGTTTCAGCAAGATATGCGGAAGGCGGCGATGAGGGAACTACTGGTAAGCTGAGCTTGTAAGTACCGACGCTAAGCTAAGTCTGATGAAGCTGTTTACAATACGAATTGCGTCCATACAATATTCTTCTAAAAAATTTAACGTAATACGAGTACCTAACACACGTGAATAAGTTTTGTGTATGTAAGCATGCAAAGCGAAAGGGAAACCTAATTAATTAATGTAAATTTTAAATCCACTATTCACTCTATAATACATTTATGATTTTTATGAACAATTTCCCTCCTAGTCTACAAATAACTTCTAGATTTAGTCCCTCTCATTGGTTCTGATTGAAGAGCAGCGCTCTAGGGAACTTGGGCATATGCTGAGTCAGTGCCATTTCACTCGCACATTATTTTTCGTGTTGTATTGAAAGTGTTTATCTATCTATCTAATTTAAAGTTTGCTCTTCACAACCGGACTTGCGAAGCCGGTGAATGAAAATTAAAAGTTCTGAGCGCAACTTGATCAAACAAATCGATGTTTTACTACTTGCTTGTACAGGCACGAGTAGCCGATAAGCATCCTCTTTGTAAATGCACGGTACTTATGTTTTTTTTATCAAGTGACGGGACGAACAAGTCGTGCGCCTGATGGTAAGCGACACGCCTGTCCGTAACAGTTGCAGTGCTACTCAGAGCTTAAATCGCAAAGGGGCACTGCCACCGCGCCCGTCACACTGAAACATAATTTGACTAGTCCCATGTGCCTGTAATTACGCCAAAGTTATAATATATGTAACTACTACTTAGGTAATTAAATCAAATTGTTATTTTTTTTTAATTTATCGAATCATAGGTAAAAAAAGAAAGAACATGTTTTTCTGTGTAGCTGTTTTTATTACACCACAAATTTTTTCTATATATGGTCGATGCAAAGACGCGTTTTGTGGTTTAGGAATGAAGTCATTTCTATTCGAGCAGCTTTAAAAAGTTGAAAAAACTGCATCTATGATTGTACAAAAGATGAAGAAGTGTTCTACTTATGGATCTTCTTCTTGTAGAGTAAATCACAAAAAACCAATAAAAATCAGGTGCTATATTTCTTTAGCCCAGTAAGCAGCCGTCTCTATCTTCGCGGGTGCAGCTGGTGTAACACATAAGTGTGCAAATGGACGTACTTTGTTTGGTGAATCCGTGAGCACAATGGTTTTGAATCGGGTTGATATCCCCATTTCACTATGTCGTCTCTACACCGACCAATATGTGACCTGGCCGTTCAGGGATTTCCATACTGACCACTGCAACTCATGTCCGGGGTACTTTCGGCTGAGGTAATAAAATCAAGAGGAGCAGCGTGTTTGGCTTATCAAAGTTTGCGCCTCGCATCTGTTGGGCTATAGAGGTGGTATGTCGAAGTAAGCTCTTACGGCTTGGTAGTCGTGTGTCAAGCCGAAGAGCTTTTAGAGACCAGAGAATAAGAAGGAGCTCTTACAAAGTTGAAAAATAAGCCGAGACGGTTAATTTTCGATATTCTTCTTAAAGACTGTGTGTGGCTGTTGCAAGTTTTATAAAGTATTCCGTTATTTTTATTATTATTTATTTATAGAGCATTGGCTGTCGTGCCATTAGCTTAAACAGGTAGAAAATAATTATGAAACTCAAATCGTAATAACATTTAAACTTAACATTTCTAAAATGTAAGAACTGAAACCGGACTAAAAGGTTTAAGGGGTAATTTTCGCGGCGATCATTAAGTGACAACGATAGCTATTATATGTCACAATTCGACACCGTTATCCTTGTTTTCCAAAATGTTTAATTATTCTCAATGAAAAAAAAAAAGTTAATGATAACAATACAGTTTTATCAACTACGATTAATATATCACAGGTTAAATTTTGTCATATGCGATATAACGCAGTGCTACCGTGTAAGCTATGTTTTAAACGATACTCACCTTTTATTTTGACCTCTTAGCAAATGAGATAACTACTTGAACAACAAATGGCCGTTACGTTTTTATAACAATTTCGTTTTATCGGTATTAATATTAATCCACATTGACCTCAGTAAATTTAACTTAAAAATTCAATGATGGCTGGATGGGCCCACTGGAACCTACGATTGTCTTGCCTGCTGTTCAGAGAGCGTCAGAGATATATGATGGCTGCTGGCATAAATTAAACTCACTATCGTAGTTTATAGTATATTTATTGTATTTAGTTTAAACAAATAAATACATACAATTCGGTGTTAAAATAAAACTTAAAAAACAATTTTTGTTTTATTTTCCTTCAGCGAAATGAAAATTCGGCATATGACCGCCTTTGTGACACTTCAGATTTTTGATCAAGATTTAGTTGCCGACTATTACGTATAAATCAGATCAGATTTAGCTACGTCTCAAAATCATCTACAACGATCTACACTTATTATTCTAAATATTACACTAATATTAGTTCCGATACAGAAGTTAATGACTGAATTTACTGGTATATTGGTACTACACTACTAAAAAGGCGAAAACTCACGAACAGAGGTATTGCTTACAATCAAATATGATTACATTTTACGCGTTAAACCAAACAATACTTCGAATTATGCCGATAATCCCAAGTGATATTCTCTTGCCTTTAGGCCCTGGTAGGTGCGCAAGACCAGCGGAGGCGCACTTAGCCGTTTTCTATCGAGTTTTCCGTGAGAATCCGCTGAACATCCAGATCTCAAAACTATAAAATATCGTAATTCCAACATGTTCAAAATACCCGTACTATTCGTGGCACATTAATTAATTAATAAAATAAAATAAACAAAGGTATAAATTTCAAAATCGTAATAAATTATGCACGGGACAGATAGTACATTATGTAACAGCACAAAGGCGCATAATATTTCCTATCATCTACGTTACATACAGATCTAGAAAGATATTTAAAATTAATCAGTCATTGGAAACTTCAGATTTGCGATGAGATACTGCGCGCCTGTAATATTCTGAAGATTCCAATAATTTCACTTTTATCAATACTTATCATATTTTAAATTAAAAACTTGAAAATCCACTATATGCCTGTATACACCACGTTTAAGATTAATTTGGCAAACATTGTCTATTGTCTGAAAATAAGAATTGCTGCCAAAGAAGTTCTAACTGAATGTTAATATTTTCCTTTATGTCTTGAATGCATAATAATATCTTTTAATAATATCTTCTGGCAAAGTTTGTTGGTCTCCTTTCTACATGGTATATAGTCATAAAAAATCATACAGTTTACTTGACACTGGTCCGAAAAGGTGGAGGTGTGGGGGCCACGTTCCCACGACCCTTTGAAGCTTGCGTGGGACGCATAAAACCTGAGGTCCGGTTCAACGCCTTTGCTGGTGGACGAGCTGCACCTACTGAGCTACCACTCGATGAAGACCGCGAAGCTGGAGCCCGAGCAACAGGTCTTGGGACCGGACGTGGTGCAGTTCGGACCGGAGCCGGAACCGGAGCACGCTTCACTGTCGACACAGACGCGGCGCTGTTAAGCGAGCTCCTAGAACTGCGCAGTGAAGCTCGCGACGTCGACCGCTCCACCCGTAATGAACTTGCTCTTTTGGGCCCTACACGCTTCGGATCCATAGGCGTTCTCGGAGGAGTCTTACTTTCTTTGGTTGAAACTTTCTTTGGAACATCAGTTTTCGTCGCCTTTGGAATGGGAGAATCGCATTCCACGTTGCACCCTGACGATGCTCCTTGAGACGCGCTTTCGGAGTTCAGACTCTGGGTTTCCTCAAAACCTTCATCGTTCAATTCGTGCTCGCTCTTCACTTTAGAGATACGAGGTAAGGTCGTTCTTTCGACCGTTGGACCTCGATCTGTTTTTCCATTTAGCGACTTTCTATATGCGTTTCTAGACCAAACGCCAGTGGGCGTTTCAGTGGGTGATTTGAGCTCGCGGATGGCCTTCTGCACATCTTCCTGGTTTATAGATGTTTGTCGCCTCATTCTTGAATACGGATGTTTAGTTTCTTTGGTTGGAGTTTTATCTGTACTTTGGCTTTTAAGTCTCTCTTGCCACCGTTTGAGCCTGTTCTCCTTATCGTCTTTGATTTCGTCCATGGGTTTAGTAGAGTTCTCCGGCGTTTCCACGGAATACGAAGATTGGATTTCCAGTTTAGATGGTCTAATAACTTGGTAATCGCAAACTATTTCTGTAGGACTGTCGGGCTTCTTCTCATCCTCGGGAGAGCTATCTGTAGGTCGTTTGTACCTTCTAGTTCTCCGGGCCGCTGAGAATCTATCAAACTGGCCATCTCCTAATATTTCTTGACACAAATCTCTCATCTCGGTAGTGGCCTTCATATTCACCTTGCTCGATAAAGACGGTTGAAATTTCCTGCATGGCTCCCTCTCAGGCGGAGGATTGAACATTTTTCTTTGCACCGGTGGAGTTTCTATATTATCAGAGTCGATCTCCACCCGGTCCTTATCAATACGCGTTTCCTTTTCGTTGGTGACCCTGATATCGGGTACTTTGCGTTTTTCTTCTTCGGAGATTGAGACAAGGACCTGTGGAGATTCTATTTGCTGACGTGACCTCTGTCGCCGAAGACGCCTCATCTCTTCATTCTCTTCGGTCTTCCGCCAAGGGACCCTGTCCTTCGTCTGCGGCTGTACGTCTGTAATATTACCACCCGTTAGTATGTAGCTCTTAATGAATAATCGTAAATTTGTCCATTAAATTATAGTATCAGTTTAACATACTTTCGACCGCCTCGATGGCCTTAACGACGTCGCTGTCAGGCAACACCGCAGGTCGCCATTCCGTACGCCCCTCCGGCAGAGTGTCGAGTGTTGTGCTTCGTTCGCTCTCTGGAATATCGACATTGTGAATATAAGAAATTATCCTTGAAAAACGCTGCTTCAAATGTGATGTTTATTTTTGTATAATCAGACACCAGGTATCCATTAGCTAAATATAGTAATGCATGTACCGGAATCGTTTTCCAAGGAGCGCCTATTCGCTTGTAGTTTTCTCGCTCGCTCCCGTAGTTCGGCGTCTCGTTTTTCCTCTTGGCTGTTGGCACGCAGCCACAGTTCAATCTTCTGTCGCCACTCCCTGGAACGAAGAAAAATAAGAAACCGCCTAGCAGCACTAGTTTTAAGTAATAATAATTCTCAATGAGACAAAAGACAAACATATTTTTAACGTTTTATTATCCTTTCAAGTACCGCCAAATAATTTCACAACCCGATAAATGCCAAAAACAAAATGACGGACGTGGGCGAATCAAAATGGTGGTTCACCCTAATTAAAAATCACGATTTGAGTTATTTTTTGTTGATATAGGTAAGCTATAGGTTTTCGGAATCTATATAAACGTTTGTTGTAGGTGTGTACTTACAAATAGTAAACTATGTTCAACAATAGCATACTTAGGTTTAGTAGGTGGTTCGGGCTGTGGCGCGGGGGACGGTGGGGCTCGGGGGGAGGAAGGACGCTCCCTCTCTCTTTCCCTTTCTCTGTCTCTCTCGCGGTCCGGAATTTCGAGGCGAGCACGGACTGGCGCACGGCGAGACCACGAACGATCTGCGGATAATGCTCCGGTCATATAAATATGTTACATAGACAAAGAGGTTTCAAGGTCCCATTCGCACCAACATTCACAGCGTTAGTCGTCATGGCAAGTGTGGTGACTTGTTGCAACAAAAAGTAACAAATTAAAGGGATGAGCAATATAATAAATAGTGCACAAGTTAGCGCATAACAATTTTAGTCTTTGCCCTGATTTATTCAACTTGCCATGGTTAGCACTTGTATGTTTATTTAGCGGACGTACGTACATTACCAGTTAATTCAAAAACTAAAATCCACTAGGTCCTTACCGAGGCTGCCCCACGCGCTGCGCTCCCGCAAGTCGTTGGCGGCAGGCGAGGAGTGCCGCAGGAACTCCAGTAGACCTTCTTCGTCATCTCCCGGACTGGCGCGGCTGCGACGCCGGAGGCTGCCCGTCGGGGTCACGTCTGCCACCACAATTGCAATAGCTCAGTAGCATCTCATTATCATTTATGATTTTAGTCAAAGATGAAGAGGAAAAACTTAAATGTACCAGGAGACGGCGAGGGGTCGTGCGGGCGGCGCAACGAGCGGCGGCCGAGCCCGTTCTTGATGTCCAGCAGCAATGACTCCATCAGCGATTCGCACTCCGAAACCGGAGTGCTGCACACGCTGCCGCCTGCACACATAAATAAATAAGCCAGTCCATCACATCAATGACTTGATCTTCACACCTAAACAAGTCTATAGTAATGAAATTAGCCAGTAAACCTGATCAAAGCCAATTAACAAGTAAACAAACCCTGAGCAGTTCTGGTTTTGGCAGCAGCGGCGTCTCTGGCGCGGCGGCGCGCAGCTGCCTGCTCCTCGTTGGCACGACGCCGCTCGTTGTCTGCCACGGCCGACCGAAACTTCGTACAGAACGATACGAAGACCTAAAAACACGACACCCAACGTAAGAGTTGTGAACTAAACGGGGAAAATTTTGAACCTATACTGATGAAATCACATACACACCTTAAAGCACTCTTCAAGCTTAAATGCCACAGGATCTTCGCAGAAGAAATCGGCCAGTTGTTTGCGCATGCTTTCCACTTCCTCCATATCCTTATTGAGGGCTGACACCTCTTGCTGGGCAACCTGGTAATGAAATGATATGTATTCAAGGATATTCAACGATTATTTGGAAAATTCTTATTTGAAAAAAGTATATGAACCTGCAGAAAGTCGCCCATCTGCTCTTTGATATCAGGCTGCGTGATAGGAAGCTGGATTTCCTTCTCAAGTACAGTGATGCGATGTTCAAGGGTTTTTATTTCGTTGTGGATTTGCTCGACACTCGCCTTCGCAGCTTCTTCTAGCACCCTCGTGTCATCGGCAAAGTGAATTAGTTCTTTGTTCTTACGTTCGGCTTGCTGCAACAATAAATTGCCTGAAAATTTGAGCATGTAACGCCTAAAGGTTAAAAAATTTTTTGTACTTCAGGCGCGCTATTTGTCATTGTGTATTCGAAGCCTTTCATTAGACAGACCGTTACTAAAATAACGAAACGTTCTCTGTATTTTGGGCTAGAACGTAAGAACACAATGATATGTAACAAATCATGATAAACCATGAAGACGCACCATGGCCACGTAGTGGACGAGAGTAACTCCGGGCTTGTTAGCTCTGATGTCGGAGAGTTTTTGCAGCGAAGAGAGCTTGACGCCCGCCGCGCCACCCGCGTACCCACCCGCGTTCAAGAAGTTGCCCGCGATCAACGTCAGGTACAGAACCTCCTGAAAAAAAATGCATTAAATACGAGTATTTCGTAGTTCTACGTATATTACTGTAGTTAAACGTCAAATAAAATTGGAAGATAAATTTATGTGAATACGTTTTATTTAACTTTATATAAAGACGTTTTTATACGTGATCGCTACATCCGTTGAATATAAAAAACAAACATAAGTAGAAGTGTATTCTGCAACTGATGATAGTAAGTAAGCACCTGTATCGCTCTAGAGGACATGAGGTCGTCGCCAGCCACCAGTATGGCGTTGATGGCACTCTCCAGGTATCCCGCCGTCGACGCCCATTCTTCTTTCAACAACATGCATTCTATACGCAGTTTGTAGCTGGAAAATAAAATAAATAAAAATAAAATAAAATAAAATAGGCTTTATTTGACATGCATAAATTTCAAACAAATCAACAAAAAATTAATAAAATGAAGCATACGAAATAAAAAATAAATAAAAGCATGTCAAAACGGTCCATGACTCAGCCTCTGAGGACTATGTTGATTACATAGCCGTCGGTGTTATTCGGTCATGGCTCGTCATAATATGGAACACCACGTTCAAATAATAATATATATGTTACCTACAAAACAAAAATCTAAATGAAAATAACTGTAGACTTTTAGGCACTAAGTGACTAAAATTTGACATCAATTGATAAAAATGACGATCATGTTAACGTTAGAGCCGAACAGCTCACCGATACCTTTCCAAGATATTTGGAAGAAAATCGTTACTTACTTGGGTAACTGAATTAGTTGCAGCAAGAATTTCTCGGCATTGCCGAGCTTCGTGACGTCACCGGTGAACGCTTTGAGCATTTCACACTCGTCGATTTCGGGAAGGATCTTAAGAAGGCCGCGCAGCTTCTCGGCACCGATATCGTCGTGCGCACCTTCGCGGATCAGCTGGATTATGTCCTCGTTAGAGCTGTCGTGTTAAAAATTTTATTTAGTTTCAGTTTGATAATACTGTTACGACAAGGGGCTATTTGAACACAACACACTTTCGACAGCACAGAATATGTTTTATTATTGATACTATATTATTACACTTTGTATTATCATGGAAAGGTAAAACGACCATGAATGTGAAGAAGTAGGTATGTCGCAATTAATATTTTATTATCAAAATAACTATAATGTTTTAACCGTGGGATCAAACGAATTAAAATATTTTAATTCTGTTGAGAGCACGGTTATTTGATAGCATCAATTGGTTAAAGTCAACGTTGCAAAATAAATAATGGTTAGATTATGTTTCCACTACTTTAGGTCTATTTGGTGAAAGTCACAAGTGCTAACTTGGATAAAGATCTACCTACGATAAAGTCCGTCTTTAGACGTCACAATTAAATTGAATTATGAAACTGGCCACACATAACTAAATTGTAAATATAATATTTTAATTAATATCTCTCGTCTTCTTTGTCATTCTAACCATGGTAGCAGAGCATGGTTTGAACAAGAAATGAAAAACAAGCAAGTCGTAAAAATGAGTACTAATATCGTAACACCAATTTTTGACGGAACGGATTATGTCAATTAGAAAATTCTACAACTGAAATTTCTTCAATTGAAAAAATGCAAGGAAATAGTTATTAGAATAAAAACAGACTAAGATGATGCTACTCGGAGATGAGATGGATGTTCAAGATACAAATTATATATATAGCGCCATTACCAATCGACAGTTAGAATATATTAGCGAGCTAGATTCAGCATAAAAAATTATGTTAAAATATGACGAAAAGTATTTAAAGCAATCTACAGCGTTACAGATTCAATACAGAAACAATTTAGAAAATGTAAAGCTAGTGAAATATTCAGATGGGTCAACGATTTAAAAATGGCCGACGCCATAATGGCGGGAAGTGAAAAATTAAACGATATGATAAAAACGTTGGTAGGAAATTACAGTCATATTGGCAATTTAATAGATGTTCTGCCAGAAAAAGAAAGAACCGAAGAATATTTTAAAAGTAAAATAAGAATGAACAAAATTTAAAGTATAGACGAAGAAGTGCTGGGCACCTCGAACACATGCAAAGTGGCGTCTGAGGACAAACAATGCAGCACCTGCGGAAAAGTTGGGCACGTACAAAGAGACTATTGAAGGCGACAAAGGTTGGAAGCATTACCTACATCTTACTTTCCTGTTTGTAGGAATAGAAACAAAGTCATAATAGACAACGTATTTTATGTAAAGACAGACTTAAAACAAAAGTAACTACAGAGAAATTACCTTTATACAGCTCTTCGCCATTACCCAATCACGAGAATAAGTAGAGAATGACATCCAAGCAGTGAACATTAACATAACTAAAAAGAAAGTTACCAGGCTTAAACAAGCAACGCTCTACAAATTATGGGTACCGCACTAGTATACACTAGTACGTTAGTTACGTACGTTGTTTGTTATGAAATTATAATATCTAAAATATTGTTTGATTATTATTAATTACACTTTGTCGTAACTAAGTTACGACAAACTTTTCGTGGTATTTTACACATAAAAGAACGTAACCAACTTTGTACAGAGACGAGACGAAATGGTTTGGTAGTAGTACAGCATGATTTGTTAAGTAACAACGATAGCGCCAATATATTAAGCGATATTGGTAGAAAATGACACAGATGGCGCTAACATTATTTAAAATTATCTTTGAAAAAAAATTTGCGTCATTCACAAATTGAAATGAAATTGCATTTGTTATGTCAGTTTTAGAATAGTGTCGTCCTTGAAGGATTGAACAAGAACTTTATCTTATTTTGGTATAATTGGTACAATGTATGTATTGTAATGTATTTAAAATCATCTCTATTTTGCTTTAAAATTGATTATCCGTTCGGTTGAACGAAATCTATACTTGAAAAAAATAATATGATGTAAAAAACCTACTGTTTAGTTCACTTTTTAGTCGGCAAAGTCGTAATTTTGGGGGCATTAGCCAGTGAACATTATTATCTGGAAGGGTACGTAAGATCTGAAAAGCTGCTTTTTACAATGGTAAGCGTCCTAAGACAGTCATGACGATGTTGTATTATGTGTTTTTGGTATAGAAATGACCTATTCACGAGAAGTCTTCCTGCCAGAAGAGTTAAAGAAATATTACGTTGTCGACAAAGCTACAAAAACCCTATTTTAAAAGTTTTCTTCAAAAGATTAACTCATTGAACAAAAACAATTGAATATAACACTTAAGCGGAAGTTAGTTAAATTTAATCGCCTGTTTACCGATTATAGTGAAAATCAATCAAAAAACTATGGCCGTTCAATCCCAGTTTTGGTGAAATATTTCCGCGCACTCGAGTTATTTAAAACATGCAATTCAAAAATAAACGTTTTTAACAACGGTATCAGGTTCCTACCTTCGGAATTGTTTCAAGAAGATATTGACGTTGAGACTCCTTTTTCCGTCCAGGAGCGTGATCTCGGATGACTCTTTCCTCGGCTTCCGTTCGCCGGAGTGGCCGCAGATGGGGCTGCGGCCGAGCCGCGGGGAAGACCCGGCGGAGCCGGTCGGCTGTACCTTAAAAGGCATAAAGTCCAGTCAAATCATCTTTATTTCATAAGTAAGCAAATTACACTTGAATCGTCATATTGATTAAACTCACCTACTCATTCGTAAGTAAAGCAAATTCCGTTGAGAAGAATGAACAAGAAACTCTAGTGGTTGTTCATTGTAAATATATATTTGAACATATTTTGTCATTTACAATATTTATTTCAAACATTAAGATGACAAAACCTGCAAGACCTAAACGGGTCACTACCACGGAATTTTGTCATCCATACACGTAGAAGTTGTATAAAATACATTTAGAATACAGTTTTTGTTTCACTGCCTCGTAAATGACAAACTTTGAATAATACCCGGAATCTTATTAAATGATTTTGTGACTTTGTGCAGACGACTGTCAAGAAGAGCTAGTTTATTTTTATTCCTCGTATTAATGTTATGTCTGTCACTATTTTTCATAAATAAATTACTATTCCTTTTAACATAAATTACATTTTCATGAACGTACTATAAACTAGTGTAAAAATGTTAGTCTCTTTAAACTTATCTCTCAAAGACTCTCTGCACTCTGCTGGACAAAGATTCTCGGCATTACCCCAAAACAAAACGCCGTACGTCAATAAACTGTGAAAGTAGCTGAAGTGAAACCAAGTCAGCGGTTTCGACGTCTGAGAGTTTTGGTAATGATCACATACTTAGATCAGCATAGTTCTTTATTATCATTTTCGGATTCGGATTACGTCAGTGCGTACAACTGCCGACTTCGGTATCATCTATTCGGAGGATTTGATGCTGATACAAATGGAAGTACCTCCCTTTACTTTTGAATTTTTTTGGGGAGTGCCTGAACCAAGTATTTATTTCTTACAGATGTGTTGATAGCAATTTATTTCTTATAGAAAGCAAGAAAGGAGAAAATCTCTTCAGTATGTCGGATGCAGGCACCGCGTAGTTGTTTCTAATAATTCGGAGAAACGGACTCGAGTAGCCCTAATGAGAAAGACTGTTACAATATATTTTTGGATTATATTTGTGCATGTTTAGATAACTTTACAAAGCAAATTTAATGAATATTCACATATTAAAATAATATAATAGTTTTTCCGGCTAAGAGCGGTAAATTAAATTTAAAATCCCCTAAATGTCCTTACTTGTTGGCAGAAGAGGCCCTCGATCTCGGACCAGTCTAGCTCGGTCTTTGGCGAGTGTTTGTGGCTGGACGCCACCAGCGACCAGATGTTGTTTCTGCCTATCACCTGCAAATATAATATCGATACAATTCTCATTTTGTGCTTTTTTACATTGTCGTCCTAATTACTTGTACTAATAGTGGAAAAAATATTTGATTTTGTATATGCCTTGCATGTGGAATTAAATAAATGTAAACCTAGAATTACTTTATTATTTGGGATCTTATTCCAGTTGATGGTCTTCATCTTGGTCTTGGGAAGAGGTGTCTCTTGCTGGGGCAACTTCACGTCGGCGGTGGGCGCCGGTGGCGACGGCGGGCAGGGCGAGCAAGGCGCGGGCAGCGCGGGTGGAGGAGGAGGCGGCGGCCCTCGCGGTGGAGGAGGTATTACGGGGTCCGGCGGAGGCGGTGGTGGGACACCTGTCACCATTGTCAAATGTTATAGAGGTCTTATGGCAATAAAACTCACCGAATGTATAAACCGAAGCATTTCAATAAATCAACTAAAAATTTGTGTGATATAGAAAATATGTTGAAGTCGTCGTTGTCAAGTTTGTACTTGACAACGACTTGCTTTAGATCAATACCTGCTGGGATGACAAAAGCTGGCGGAGGCGGAGGTGGTGACAACGCTCGCTGTAGACTTTGCTTCCGACCAGCGCTCGAGGGATCCCTGTGCTGACATGTGCAACCAACTTTTGCCTGGGTTGAAAAAGGCTAATAAGTACACCTATGTTTCACTATAAATTATCTGAAAAATAGAATGAAATAAGTATTGCCTAAAAGACCTAAAGGAAACTGACGAGAGTGGAGAGAGGGGACACGAGAGAAATAAATGTAGGCCATACAAATATTTATAACGCCCCGGGAATCGAACCTGGGACCTCTGCGGCATGATAACCGTTCGGGCATGGCATTCGATATGCCTATAAAAAAATATTTATGATTTAATGCTATGGGTGGCACCATGACCTAGACGTCACGACTTATTCGTTCTGTTATTCGAAATTATGTAAAAGAGAAAAAAAATGTTTGGATAATTTTAGGGCACGCACTTGCACACTGGGCGCCCGCAGTAACTTAGCAGCATCCTCCCTGGACTCGAGTAGCGTGGCGCGGTGCACCAGCGTTTCGGCCGTGTCCCATACGATGTCGCTCACCGGTTCCTTCGGATCGATGCGAAGCAGGTGTTGAAGAATGCTCAGAAACGGAATCTCTTGAGGAGTATCGGCAACCTGAACAATGTCATTTAAAATTTCCCTTACGTGTAAACTTAGGATATAAAACACCTACATTATATCCAGAATATACTCGAAATAATGTCGACATCCGATCCGTAATTTAGTGAGTAATGACCTGTTTGAGTATAGCGTAGAAGACATCAAGGTGAGAGTTGAGGTTGATGCCGCCGGGGCCGTGCGCCTCGTCGCTCTCGCGCTGCTCTTCGAAAACATCCAGCTGCACGCCTAGGTCCGGGTGACTTGAAGCCTCGTGCCTGCAGGCAGGACCAATATTCGATTTCAAATACCATATTAAAATTCATGCGGCATCTTTATGACGTGTTGGTCCAGGTGCAGGTAAAATGTTAAGTTTATTTATATGATCCGCATAACCAATCCATTATCTTCGGAGCCGAGAGGAGTGAAATAAGGCATAATTTGGTCGAATAAAACCGATAAACTCGAGACCGTATCTTTATTACTACGAAATTATTCAGCAGAGTACTAGCCACTATGCATGGCGTCACCGCGGCTGCTGCGCCCACGCTGGCAACGCGTTTAGCTTTTATTTTATCCTGCTGCCTTTAGACGAGGCTCAATTATAAAGAGGTTTAGTCGCTGCCGTATAAACGGACCATCTTGTTAAATCAAATTGGTGCAGTAAAGAAATACAATGCAGTACAAGCAGTATACCAATTCTGAATGCAGATATCTGTTAATGAAGTATCAATTCAATCACGCGATTTCAACATATATCCTTGAACAAGAAGGCACGCACGCAATCAACAATGATTGATAAGCCATCGAGCATAGCAACGGGCAAAGTGTCAATCGCAGAACTGCCGGTGGCAAATCGAATATGGAAAGATCGCGATCAGTATCAACTAATCAGCGATCTGTAATGACATTCCGTGATTCATGGAGTCGGTAGGAGCAGTTGCGTCAGCGCAGATACACGTGATTAAAGCTGTCTCTTAGTTTAGATGGATTCATCTTTCCGTACATACTTGGTGCAGTAATAACCATTTTGAGGAGAATGTTAAGTACCATCCAAATATTAATCGATATTGAGGTTCTGATCCAGTACGTTCTTAACTACTTATCACAAGATTTGACAGTACTTACTCGTTAATTCTAAACTTACATACGCTTAATAAAGAGAAAATGGAGACGACTAATTGACTACGCTATACTTCTAAAGAGAATGGACCAATATTTTGTTGACTTCATAACAAAAGCATCTGCAGTAAATAAATCAAACAAACGCTTTACAAGAACAATGAACTTAAATCGATCTTTCAATCTAACCAAAGCTTTAGGACAAAGGTTTGTTTAACTAATAATTTCAAAAATGGCGTAGAATAATGGTTAAGTACAATTTTTTGCGCAACATTATATGGTTATTGAATTACCATAACGGCGCAGTGAAGCGTGCCTCACAAAAAAAGACAAAAAGTTCGATCTAAATAAAGAACAAATGAATCCACGTCAATGTTTCTTATGTGTAGTTTCATTACCGATCGCCCACACTCGGAGGCTTCGAACGTTTTATGTACGCTGTGCCTAATGGTTGAACTCCAAATCATCATACCCAACTCAATTTGCTTTGTTAATTGGCAGATAGGAGTTTAATTACAAATCTTTAAACCATTCAGTATAACAATGATGAAAATGTCGACTTACCTCAAATTGTTTAGAGTCGGCAGAAGACCTAGACCTGAAAAAGGCAATTCACACATTACAACAACTGGCACCATTTCGATGCGACAATTCACACAATAGCCTATAATAAATAAGCTTAAACTTTTTTACTTTTTTTTAAACTTGTCCACTAAAATATCATCGGGGCTGAATAGGGACAAGTGATTGTAATAAAAACTGACCAATGAATTCGTTGCGCACGCGGATGCGATCGGGCAAGCGCGGAGCGGAGATGATCAGACAGTTGACAAAAGCCACCAGCGCCGTCTTGTAGTCGGTGGAAGAGGCGCTCTTCAGCTCCTCCACCACTACACTCAACCGGTACCTCTCCCCCTTTAACGACTGCAATGGAATATTGTGACGTTTTTCAAAGATCGTTGGTGACTCAATTAAGAAATATTGATTGTATTAAAAAGCAATGACCTACCTTGTGCTCATTAAGTGTCTCAACAGCTCTGGAGTATCCTTCAGAGTTGTACACACATAGTGCCGACAGGAGCTCGAACACCTACAACCGAAAGATCTAGGTGAAACAATACCAATAATAACAGACTTCATTTATGAAAACTAAAGCGTTACATCTTATGTTTCGTTTTTCATGGCCTTATATTTAAATTGATTCATTTTTAATTTCAATCCAGTCTGAATTGTTTGCGTCAGAAACAAGAATTTTGATCATTATACGATAATATTCTTATCCATATATTTACTTTTGTAACTAAATTTGAATCGAAAGTGAGAGAACGTTACTATTTCAAAAATATTTGCTTGATAAGTAACCAAAAGGTTACAATGAAGATTTAAGACATTCCACTTTCATCACAAAATGACAATTTAACGATTTGATAGAACTTTACGTAGGTATATTGTTAATCAATAACTGTACAAACAGATGTAGAACATAAACTTATAGTGACAGTCACCTGTTTCTTGACCGGGGCGTGCGGACTGGTGAGGGCGGCGGCGAGTTTACCGGCGTATTCTGCGTGCTCAACGATATAATCGAGGCCAACTCTGCTCTCCATTTTTGCTCCCCTGCAGACAAAATAAAAATGGTTATTATTAATTACCCAAAGTAGCATACATAAGTCGAAGTAGGTATTGTAACGGGGACGCAATCTCACGGCTGCCTCCCCGTTACAAGTATCGGCATACCTGGGTCCCAAGAATTGGGTGCCCTAGCAACAAGTACTTATAATTGGTAGAACCACAGAGGCCGCTTTCAACTAATTAAGATCACTGAGTACAGCAGTGGAATATGACGGATTCTACCCAAAAGTAACCATACAAAAGTTGAGTGAAAGTTGAGGCTCTGGCATCTGAATCACCTCTAGAATTATCAACTCAATTATTCGTTCACTTTTGATAGTCTCACATGTAACATTACAAAAATACCTAATTTGCGCACAGACGTTCAGTTTTCTATAACTGTATTCCTTGTGCGAGGGAAGCAAAACAAAGATTCTAAGAACCCTCCATGCTGTGGCAAAGGAAGCACTATCAAACAAAGTGGCCATGTATGGGGTAAGGACAGACGATGACACATCTGGCAGGGTCAGCAGAACCACATCAACTGATATAACACTCAGCAGAGTTGCTGTTAGCTTCCCGCAGGTCACCTTAGCTGTGGCAAAGAATGCTGAAATCCCTGGCAAAGCCAACATAATTTGTATCAGGACACAACATATGATTGAACATGCCGCTGGTCAGGTCAATATTACATGCAACATCGGTTGCTACCAGCACCGCTGGCTAGAGATGATCCTCCAAATCAGCAGGATGAAAGAAATTTCTGCTATATGTTGAACCTTGAACAATCCATGACTCTGATTAGCCCAGCAAGAAAAAGAGCAGCACAAGATGAACCCTTAGGAGTACATCTTGAAAACTCACGGAAATTTGTTTCTGCTGCTATAAACCGCCCATTATCTTCAAATGATATTCGCAGCACCCTCTTAGATGGTTTGAAAGAGGATGCAGATGGCATTGCTGCATACAATCAATGGATCAAAGCAGGTAGTGATGAATGACCTGGAACAAGTGGCTTACAAGTTCAAGTTATTCATCACTTGTCGAGATACTTTCAAGGGAGTATGCCACCCGTGCTAATTAGAACCCAAGCTACGACCCCTTTACAGTACTATCAACAAAATTGACGTCTTATCACTTTAACCCTTAACTATGGTCGTGGGTCCAATGGGCCCGAGTTGATTCTTTCAACTCGCGTAGGAATCGCTGCAAGAGACGCAGCTCTTCCTACTCCTCAGTACCTTCCGATGGCACGCCAAAGCACGAACTGAGAGATGGACGTGTTTTGCTCGCTGCTCCAAATGTGAGTAATGGTTTACATGTGAGTCCGACCCACGACCATAGATACGTAAGTTTTTTGTGCGACATACTTTATCCATGTTTGTTTTTAATTTCAGTTTCTACTCATGGCGAATCGAAACAGTGTCTTAGTAATTCAAGAAGACATATTAGAGCAATGGTTGAACACTAATTTAGACAGCGATGAGGAAAAAGAGTTTTGAGATAATGACGAGGATTTTGTCAGAATTAGTGATCATGAATTGTTCTGAGATACCTGATATCGAAAATCCTCAGGAAAATAAAGTTGAAATGATCTCTATGCGAACACATGCTTACATGATCTGCCTATTTACATGACATATGTAAAAACTATGTGCAATTCATATGTATGTAAAAACTATGTGCAATTCATATTTATAATTAGGTTAAATTGCACTAGTGTCAGTTTTATTACGATGAGATACTTTTATTTTTATTTTATTTTTGTAAACCAAGATATTTTCAAATGTAAGAAAAAAGTAACGTTTGTAAATGTTGGCATTTGTTTAATTTTTTATTGCTTGTTTTTAATTGAACTGATTATAGATTAAGAAAATTATAGATTATAGATTAAAAATTACGACTGATATAAATAGATATTGATATATATGTTCTTACCGTTAATCTTATACAACACAGCATTTTTTTAAACTAAACTAATAGTTTGAATGAAAAAAGTATTATAAATATATCATTCTCTATTTTATCACCGTTCCAAAATGCACGGGTCCATTGGACCCCCGACTATACAAGCGTTATTTTTTTCCACGACTATAGTTAAGAGTTAAGGATACAAGCAACGGCGATTAGTATAGACCAGCACTAACTTGCATGTTCTTGTAAAAACAATGCTCCTATAAAGTTAGTCATGTTTAATTATAAACAAGATGTTTTAACAAAAAAATATTTACGAAATAAGGAGCTACTATCTCCGCTTGCTGTTATGTGTAATGAAATCTTCTTTAGAAATACGTCTATGATAAGTTAAAAAGAAAATTTTTAATGGAGTCAAAGTCAATTTTATAGCCTGGAAATTTCTGTTGAAGAAATGATTTAGATGTAAGTATCGTATTTCAGAACTCTACTCAATGCTCAAGACAAAACTTGAGTATGATTTCAAGCACTGGAAGTAGGACTTGAGTATGATTTCAAGCACTGGAAATAGGACTTGAGTATGATTTCCAGTGCTTTAAATCATAGTCAAGTCCTGACTTGAACATTGAGTAGAGTTCTGGAATACGACCCTTAGTCTTTAGAAATAAAAATGGTAAACTGTATTGTTTTTGGTTCCCTCTATGTTGGTGTCTGTGGTCGGTTCGATGGCGATTGTTTTTGTTTTATTTTGTCTAATTCCGTCCTGATGAAAAATACATATTAGGTTTAAAAGACAGCAAATTTATTATTTCTAACAATTTCAAATCGAAACACTATTAAACGCTATGGTCTTTTCTCCAAAGCCGCAATTTTCAGTGTCCATGCACTAAACTCCACTTATTTATCAAAACAAAAGTGTACAAAAAAAGTGTAAAAATTGTATTGTATTGTATTGTATTGTATTGTATTGTATTGTATTGTATTGAAAGAGAGTACAATATAGGTCGAAAGCTAACTGGAGAGCACAAAATTTTCCCAATAAACCTTTTGGACCTAATGGAAAAAAAATCCGAAAGGTCTAAAACCTGACAACGGTGACGTGTCCCGAACGCAGAATCCCACACAAAGTGTCATTTTTCTCAAAATCGAAACCGTATATCAATATTAGACTTCAGTTCACGTATAATATATTAGATAACAGTACTTCTAAACTGAATTTCACAATAAATTAGACAATAGTTTTATCACAATACCAAGATTGCTGCGTGTCTCAGGCTTAGGCTTACGAGGTAATTTGGTGGTAGTTACTAATCACGCTACACATCAGAAGTGAAGCATTTTGGAAGCTTCGGAATACGCTCGTATTGTTCGTTCATCACGGCCCTGCGGTTGGAGAGAACAGGTGGATGATTTGTTGCCCATTTTAGGACTTTTTGCATATAAATACGTAACTCGGTGGATTTAATCCAGGTTAACTTTTGAATTCGGTTTATACGATATTTCAAAAACTAAATTTTATGGTTGTATGTAATATTTTTTATGCTATGTGTTGTAACGACTAAAATATAATAACAATTTATTGTTTTTACAAGAGTTGTCGTTTACGACTAATATAAAAAAAAATATATTTTCTGAATCCCGTGGCCTTGGATTCGGTGGACTTTAACGTAATAAACGTTTAGTTAATATTGTTGGTTTTCACAATTTTATATTACTACTTGCTTCCCACTGAAAATGAATAAGGAATATCAAAACAGAAACCAAAAATTGGAAATCAAGAAGATGAAGGAATGTGTTAGATCAGATTATATATGAAAGGTTTAAAGAAAAAGATAGACAGAGGTTTGCGAAGAAAAAGCGGAAGAAAAGATTTTAAATCTGCATGAATTACAAAAAGTAATGAAGATACTAATCGCGCAAGTTTTCAAAAATTTATTGCTTTTGTAGTTACAGATTAAGATCTAATTTTTTTTTAAAAAGAGGTACGGTAAAACTTTGCGTGATTGAAAAAAGGCTGAATAGCCAAACTGTAAACCGATTTTAATTAATAGTCATAAGATCAAATTTGTTGGCGTTATTCTGGTCGATTTATAGATAAATTTTAGTTTTTAAAGCCTGGTTTAATAGTTAGTCATATTAGTAAATGTTTATGTAGATTATTGAATGCTTTTGTTGCCTTTTTCATAATATTTTATACAAAAATTACGCCTTTTGTCAAGAAATCCTGATTTCGGTGGTAGCAGAATTCGGTGGATCAAATATGTCATTAAGTATTAAGAATCTAATTGCCACATTAACGGAATCTTATGTAAGTTTGACTTCTTTTTCCTTCCCGCTCAATGTTTTTCCTGACCACTGAACCACCACTGAAGTCAGTCAGTCAGTCTTGACCACTGAAGTCAGAAAATTTGGCCCTTCCAAGAGAAATGCGACTAAACATCTATATGCGCGTACTAACAAAGAAAATGCCGATCCGGATGAAAAATGTTTAGACAAAGATGCTAAAGCACACAAAAATATTGTAAATAGATTTGAAGAAGGCACCGTGTATAGGTATGTTTGTCGCAATGAAGCACGTGATAAACTTAAACAATAAAAATATATAGGAAATTGAACTATTTTTCCGGATTTTAATCGCGTATATTTGTTTTTTCAAACAAACAAATATACGCGATTTAAATCCGGAAAAATAGTTCATTTCCTATGTGTAACAATCGCGAAAACCTAAGAACTCGATAATAAAAATATATCTGAGACTATGATGATAACAAAAACAATACCTTCGTAAGCTACACTGATAGACCAAAGTGTAAAACACTAACATTAGAAAAGTCTGAAAATGAAGCCATTGAAATTTCATGTAGAAAAGCTGTAAGTACAATTATGTATTTGTATGTTACCACGAACCCAGATTTAGCAAACAGTGCGTCAATTCTAAGTTGTTACAAATCTTGCACTGTATTACGCATTGTTATTAAAAAAGTTTTACGCCATTTAATAGGAACTATGGAATTAGGGTTTAGTATTTCGTAAAAAAGTAATTGTTTTCTGTCTCGATGCTATGTAGATTGAGATTGGGCAGGTGACCTACG